ACAACAGCAAACAGGGCATATTTTCTCAAATAGTATTAAATACTAACTAAATATCAAGCCTCTTATGGGTAAAATCCAAATAGCAATAGTTTATTGTAAATGAGAATTATTTTTAGATTAGATAATCTAATAGCACAGGTATTTCTTAACCTAGTATCTGAAGCTATGGAAAAGGAATTCCTAACAAAAAATTGTTTTCCTATAGGTGGATATAAATAGCTTTCTGCATAGCCGTAAGTTTAAGACTATCTTGATTTTTGCCATTCCTGCCCCTGCCTCTCCTGACAGCAGTAACACAAAAATGATAAAAGCCAGCCCTTTAAAATAGCTCAGTGAAGAACTGAAATACATATACACCTTAGCAGTAAACACGAAAATCCTACAGAAAATAGATCTCTAAGCAACCGAGACCAACTGCAGCTCTATCAGAACAGGGTTACAAAAAAAAAAAGAAGGACCAAATACTCCTTGTGAACATTTATCATACCTTTTTATATTACTGGTTTTAACATTGCTATGCTCAGCCCTCCAGAGCCAGCCAGCAGGGCTGCACAAATGTGCTTTTTTTTTTTTGATTGTTTTTATGGTTCCGAAATCAGTCACTGACTGATTTCCAGTTGTAGTTTGTTAGATGCAATTGCAGAAGAGACAGTTTGACTTTTAGAACCAATTAGGCAATCACAATACACAGACCCTCTGCTGCCTTTATTTTTTAAGATCAATCGCCCAAGAGAATTTTATAGCAAAGTGCAAACAAGCATTTGAGAGGAAGCTGATGAATACTAAGGAGGCCTCTCTTACCCAGTCAGATGATACTCATGCCAAATAAGGTACAAGGACATGCATGCTGAGGACTAACAGGAGCTACTGAAGTACTTTTGAGTTTGCAATTGGAATTATTGAGGGGGAAGAAGCAGAGAATCAGAGCAACAGCAACAGAGCTATTTCACACTAGGTACTTAAAAGCTGGTATCTCCAGTGATAAAAATCTGAGAACAGAATGGAATTAAATCCATCTGTTTGCTTTCTGCCTGGAGAACTTCAATTTTGACCATCAAAGCTAAAAGTAGTAGAAAAGCAAATTCAGAAAGCCTAAGCAGCAGCCACAGCTAACTTCAACAGTCTTCAGCTTTATGCATACTGTTTTAGAAGGGAAAGAAATATGCAATAAAATGATGCAGAACGTTAAGACGGAGATCGAAAGGTAAATAAGCTCCTGTTGCTAACTCATAGCTAACTATGAGTAAAAGATTACACAAAGTTCAGTTAGAAAGCATTGCACCGGTTTGTACATAACCTGTGGAACAAAGTGCTACCAGAAATTACCTAAGCATTTAGGATCCTGGAGTATTTCTACAGAGAAAATGTGTACAATCACATAAATTAAAGAATTCTATATAGATTGTTTAAAAACATTAACCTACCAATAATCTGTTTCAGGATTAAAGCCCAACTTTCTTCATAACCTGATGAAATTCTATCTAACAGGAATTCAGAGAGAACACATTCTTTACTGCCTTCTCTAGTACACAGGCTGCTTTTCACAGTGGCCCATAGAAATGTGTTCAGCAGCAGGAAGAAGTGGAAAAAAAAGGTAACATCCAACACTTAGTAACTTAAAGAGAATGCAATCATGGATGAGATGACACTGAGTCCAACAAAATGCTAGAAAGCAAAACTGAATTAGCTTTTTTTCCTTACCCCTTAAGAATTCTCTATACTGTTAAAAAAAAATTTAACAGATAATTTTTACAGAGTATTTACAAGATTTTAATTTTTATTTCAGAAAGTTAAAAGGCATAATTTAAAAGCCTCTTCAAGTTTCTACCCATTTGATATTAAATAAAGTGGCAAAAAGGTCACAGCAGTTTATTTTCCAGGTAAGATCTCTGCTGCGTAGAATATGGATACAGAAGATGAGACAATACAGAACTTCTCAAACATTAGCTTTTTAAAAGGTGAAACACCTAGCATGAATGCATGCAATAGCATAGAGCAGAGCTGGTTTGTGCACAATGGCTTTAAGCTTTTGTGTTATCTATTTGAATGATTTTATTAAAGCACTCAGAATAGCTGCCATAAGTAATGCCTGCCAATTTGTCACAGACTACAAGGACACCCCCAATTTCAAATTAAGCATTTCAGCAGTGGTTTAGAGTGTTTTACTGGGCAATTTTGGGTACTATTCCTTCAGAAAACCAGGCTGCCTTCATATTATTTATGAGTTGAATATGAAATACTGACTTTCAAGTCCATCACTGGCTAAGACCAGATACTATCCATAGTGTTTCGGTGCAAATTCACACTGTAATCCACTTGTGGAGATAAGCAGGTTCTCCAAAGCATAGTGTTCAGTAAGTGATGGAAACAAAGGTTTCAGGGAGGCTGGAGTACTGGGTGCAAGCAGCGTGTTAAGAGAAAAAAGTAACCTGAATCACATCTCAAGGCTTTTGTTTGCCACCTACTACAGTTATTAATGCACACTGACAAGAAACTTGACTGCATGACCATACTGTTGATAAACCAGCACAATTCCATATTTTCCATCTCAGCAGCACACGTAGCCTGGAATCTTGGAGACTAATCAAGCTTCAAAACAACAGGAATGTATGCATGAAGCTGGTGGCAACCAGCCAAAGATCTGGAACAGCACCTGATGGACTGGCCATCAGGAGCCCTGTCTCTGAGACTCACCTTTCCCATATTTAAAAGTCCTTTCAAAGAGCACACTTGGAATGGATGAAGAACGTCTTCAACAAAAAACAGACCACCTCAGACGCCAGTTACCATCTAATTACAATTTGTATCCCCAGAAAAAACACTATTTGCAGAATAGTGCTTGCAGCTCACCAACATCCCCAATGGCTATTTGTGCTCTTTTGGGTTTAAGCTTCTTTTGTACTAGAGACACAGTGTAACTACGGCTTTCCTACACAGGCACAATTTGGAAGTTAGGAGCAACATGTTGTACTTACTTTTTTTGATGACACTTCAAGTCACATGAAGTGACAACTTGACAAGCGGGAGAACACTTACTGAAACAGTACATTTCTTTAAAATGGAGACTCTCAAGACAAAAAAGAAATTAAAACTTTGCAATTTGGGGTGTTTTTTCTTAAAGCTATAAAATCTGAGCTTGCAGTTGTGGTGCTTCAATGCCCATGGGTAAAGAAAAAATCCAAGGGGGATGTTGGATTCCATTTGTTTTCTTTATAAAGGTATTATCTCCTCTTCTCTTTTGAATGTTTTATTTCAATACCCACAGACTAAGTTCCCAGGTTCTTTTGTTTGGGGTTGTGGAAGTTTTCCCCTCTGATTTTTTGAAGGTCAAAGTGGTAGCTCAGATTCCAGGATGTTTCATGTACAAAATTAATCATGCGCAATTAGCAAACTGATGAAAGAATAAAATGGAAGTGAAGATTAATCACATCTTCCATCATCAGTGAGGACAGGAAGTTAAGTACACATAACATCAACAGCTATTCCCACCCACAGTCTGAAGGTGCAGCAGTACTTTAATCTCTATCAGAAAGATACAGTGAACAAAGCTAGGAAGGCAGAAAAAAATACATGTACACTCTTGTCCAGCTGCAGTATTGGTGTACTGAATTTCTAATGCCAAAGCTTAAAACCTGTAGTGCAAAAAACTTTCTCTGGGAATGAAATACAAGGACAGGAACAGAACTAGTCAACTGAACCACCCAGTCAGCATCTCGATTAAACCTAATATGAAAGCAGAAACGTAAGGGGCAAAACAAAACCATATTAGGTAATAAAATAAAAACAGGTTTAAGAAAACCCACAAACTAACACACACACACACAGAGCCCACATCACCTTCCAGAAAGTCTTATGCTCATGAAGAGGTTTTACACATGAAGAAAGTCATAGACCTCATTCATAGTGCCGAAAAGGAAATCAAGTATTAGATAAAACTAATTTTCAATTTGCCTTTTGAAAAGAAACAAACACCTGATGTGTACCCTTCAACCACCTAATGCAGTTAATGTTCTTTAAGAGCTAATTCTGGCAAGCTCCCTGGCAAAAGCAAAGGGGAGATTATTGCTGCTCAGTGCTCTGCAACACTCTTCTGGCAGGAAGGTCATGTAACAGTAAATGGACAACTGACTGCACCCTGTAGCAAGACAAGAGCAGTCACTGCACTGAAGCACATGTCCTTTGTGACCATCTCCTGAAGCATATTTCATATAAGAACCATGACTGAATTTGCTGACTCTGCCCAGCTGTGGTGGGACCAATCTCTGAAGTCATTCTGCAGCCATACTGGCACAACTACCAGCAGGCCACATTTCACTTGTATTTTAGTGACTTGGGTAAAATGACATTGCAGGCAAGGTCAAAGGGCAGTTAGTTCCCTACTGGAGTGACTAAACTAGCCAAGAGTGTCCTGCTTTATGCAATACCTAAGTGCAGATGTGCTGTTCCCCGCTTTGAACACTAAGGATGAAACAGAATTCCAGACAGTGCAGTAACTACGCTCCTGATTCTGTTCCACATGGCATTTCTCCCAAATGCAATTTTCACTTTTCCAACTCCCAGAACCTAAGGGGAGAGGGGAAGGGAAGGAATCATCAAATCATTTAGGTTGGAAAAGACCTATAAGAGATTTTTCAGGAATATCTATACAGTGGGAATTACAAAGCTTATGGATTACTGTTAGCCCTGATCATGTCATGCTCTCGCATCTGTCACCTGGGTAAAAAAAAAGCAGACCATCCTTACTGAGCATGGTTTCTCAGAGCCACCTGCAAACCCTGTTATCAGCCAAAGCAGTATGTGTGCAGCTATGCTAAAACTAGCAAACATTTCTGTAATCAGTTAGCACTGTACTTGTTTCAGTATTGCCACCAACACTTGCTGAAAGACAAACCCCTCAGTTGTTTCTAGAGTAAAGTGCATTATCTGTCTCTTTCCAAGTCCATAGAAGTATTTTACAAGATACATCTAGTTTGATGTATGCATCTAAAAGGAAACAGTACCTTTAATGTTCTAGTTGGAGCCCAGCCAGTGCCATCAATTGAATGTTCTCTCAATAAACTGGAAAAAAAAAAAGACACATGTATTATACAGTGCAACTTCTACATAAACAACCATTGTCAGAAATCTTTTCAGAAAGCATTAAAAACTTAAGGAGAAGCTGCAACACAAAAATTACCTCTTCTGCTATATCTAGATACTGGGATTTTAAAGTACAAGAACTGTTATGTCTTAGAATTACATTCCACATAGTGCTACTACAGTGTAGAAATTCTACATGACCTGCATCGTATTCTACATACTTAGTCCAGTGAAGCTGTTGACCTATTTACAAGTTGAAATCATTGAGGTGTATTTAGTAGGTTAGTCATTACTGGACCTTTCAGGTCAAACATCAGCAGTTATGGGAAGTAAGAATATTGGAGATCAGAACACAACTGAGAAACAAACTGAAGTCTTGCTCACGTTTATGAAAGCAAAAGTAATAATCTGAATGTCTGAATGAGAAAGTCTGGAAAACTCTTGGAAGCATCTTTTCCTAAGCACGTCTTCCTCTGTTCCTAAGTTATCTAAGCCAGAAAACTCATACAGCAAAGTAGGAAAGCACAAAAAAAACGTCACCAGCAGCAGCTTCTACTATTGAAGTAATAGGTTTAAAGTGCAATAGTCTTAAACTATTAGGCTTTACCAACTTGCAGGATAACATGTATTAAGTCATTTTTAAATTACAGTAAATGACGGGACCATACAGCCTCTGTCTAGTTATTTATTGGATATGCCTAGTTTTTAATCCAAGGAAATAAGCATTAGTCCTTTTACAATGTAGAGAGGCTAGGAACAGGAAGATCATATTGAACAAGACCATTCCACCTTAACTGTGCTGCTCATCTTATTTCTGTGCCTTGGAATAGATGAAATATGCCACTACCACTAGTGAAGCTCATAGCTAATTTCAAGAACGTGAAAAATAACATCTTGCGGCTGCGGTATTTCTACATATTACAAAAGTAAAAGCAAAAATGCTGCTGAACCCTGACCTGGCAAGAGACAGGATTTTCAGGTTTTGAGCAAGCAGAGACTTCTTAGCTTGCTTTCTGTCTGCTCCTCATCAAATTGTGCTCCAGTACTCCCCTTTGCCTCTACATATACCTCACTGTGAACTTAAAAGTGAGGAGCAAGTTAACACACACAATAAAAAGACGAAAATCTCTACTGATGGAGCTCAAAGTGCCTGAGCACAACAGCTAAGCCTCATTAACACCCCCCCCCCCCTCCCGCCCAAAGCCTCAGAGCTCTCTTGGCACATCTCCAGCAGCCAGGACTTGAGACACACTTCTCAGAGCTCTGGCAGAAAAGCAACAAAGATATGCAAACCTAATACTTCTCATGTGCCGATGCATTTTTAGAGCAGCATCCTCCTTCTTCCTAAAGATTGAGAATGATCATTAAGCCTCTATTTAAAACCTTTCCCCAGCACAGGGTGTCTAGAGAAATTGCATCTTGTGCTCTCCATGGGGATCACCTAGATATAACTGCCAAACAGTTCTGAGGTCTGTCTGAACGGTGACCTGCTCTCAAGAGCATCATACACACAGCAGAATGAAGGCTAGATGAACAGAAACATACAAACCACATTACGTACTAGTTTGGTAGATGAACAAGCATCTGCACATAGCTTCTGCTGAAAGATCTATGATCAGTGAGTCCTACTGCCAGAGAGGACCTGGGCTACTTGGAAGTTCTCAAATGGCACAACCAGCAGAGTTTCTCACCCACTCAGTGCTTCAAAAGTCTGCCTTTGACAGCCTGCATTATACAGCACAAAAGTCACTTGTTCCACCAAAGTTTCAAGACATCTGATGGACACAAAAGCCTTTTTACTTGAAGTGACCATTCTAAAATAGCCAGGGCTTTGCTGTCTCCTACAACAGGAGCGCTCTAAAGCTCACCTAGTACTATTTAGCTTGAATAAACATTCCAAAGCTTCCCTTGTGATGCTTGAGAATTAATTTGCAAAAGTAAAGACAGGGATAAACCAACTGTGCAACTTCTGCAGCATTTCAAACAACTAAAGCTGGTGAGCAAGTGTATGCAATGGAGCTGGTAAAAGGTCCGGAGCACAGGTGTGATGACAAACAGCTGAGGGAACTGGGGGTGCTTAGTCTGGAGAAGAGAAGGCTCAGGAGGACCTTACTGCTCTCTACAGCTACCTGAAAGGAGGCTGTAGTGAGGTGGGGGTTGGTCTCTTCTCCCAGGTAACAAGCAGTAAGACAAGATGTAATGGCCTCAAGCTGCACCAGGGGAGGTTCAGACTAGATATTAGGAACAATTCCTTCACCAAGAGGGTGTTCAGACATTCGAACAGGCTGCCCAGGGCAGTGCTGGTGTCACTGTCCCTGGAAGTGTTCACAAACCGTGTAGAGGTGGCTCTCGGTGTCATGGGTTAGTGGTGGCCATAGCAGTGCTGGGGTAAAGGTTGGACTTGATTACCTTAAAGGTCTTTTCCAACCTGGTTGATTCTACAATTCTATGCCTTGAAGCAGAAGTAGCAGGGCTGGGGGTGAGCACTGTGGCATGAGCAGGAGATTGTCAAGGTGGGGACCTTCACCAGGAACAGGGAAGAGCAGTACAACCCTATTTCCATTCGCTTTGTCTTCAGCAGCAGAACCTGAGAAAAGTCGAGTGTGTCCTCAGCCACTGGGGACCTAGAACTCATAACTGCACTGTAACATCAGCTGTTTGTATCTAAGGAGATCTCCCAGACAGATTTCAAATCTTTATATCTGAGTTCCAATAGGAAGACTGCAAAAATCACTATGTTTGAGGTTATAGTAACCAAACCAGCCGCTGATGTGACCAGCCAGCTGCTCAGCTTGAATTTCCACAAATAACTTCTCATTTTGTGAACAATTCCTATGTTGAGAGGTGGGCTGATGCCAACCTCATTAAGTTCGACCAAGCCAAGTGCAAGGGTCAGGGCAAACCTGGGCACAGATATAGGTTGGGCAGAGATTGAGAGCAGTCCTGCGGAGAAGGACTTGGGGTGTCGGTCGATGAGCCGGCTTCAGTGTGTGCTTGCAGCCCGGAAACCAACTGTGTCCTAGGCTGCATCAAAACAAGCATGACCAGTAGGCCAAAGGAGGTGATCCTTCCCCTCTACTCTGCTCTTGTGAGATCTCACTTGGAGTACTGTGTGCAGTTCAGCTGTTCTCAATGTAAGAAGGACATGGAGCTGTTGGAGCAAGTCCAGAGGAGGCCATGATGATGATAAGGGGATGTAGCACCACCTGTATGAAGACAGGCCAAGAAAGCTGGGGCTGTTCAGCCTGGAGAAGCTGCGTAGAGATCTCATAGCAGCCTTCCAGTATCTAAAGGGGGGGGACTCTTCATTAGGGAGAGGGACACTTTATTAGGGACTGTAGTGATAGGACAAAGGGTAACGGGTTCAAACTTAAACAGGGGAAGTTTAGATTAGATATAAGGAAGAAGTTCTTTACTGTGAGGGTGGTGAGGCACTGGAACAGGCTGCCCAAGGAAGTTGTGAATGCTCCATCCCTGGCAGTGTTCAAGTACAGGTTGGATACAGTCTTGGGTGACATGGTTTAGTGTGTGGTGTCCCTGCCCGTGGCTGGGGAGTTGGAACTAGATGATGTTAAGGTCCTATCCAGCCCTAACTATTCTATGATTCTATGAAACTAGATGACTCTAGTTTCTAGATGAAACTAGATGACTCAGACTTCAAACACTTCTCCAATCAGCAGCCTTTAATATTACCTCATGAAGCAACCAAACTTTAGCTAGCAATATTTACTGCTGAAAAAGACACATCTGACAACACTGACCACCTCACCATGGGGCAGAAAAGCAGTGAGATTTGAGTGATTAAACTGTTTCTAAAAGCTTATGCAGTCAATGAGAAAAAATATAAAACCCAAAACACACCATCTCAGGCAGAAATCACATCAACAGAAGTTAAAAAATAAAACATTGACATGCATTACACACTGTCAAAAGAGCAGTCAACTGGCCTAAGAATAATTTTTCTAGGTATCCCAATGTTTTTCATCCACATGTGGGTATTGCCTCCACTGCACAAGTATGGTCCAGTGTGACCACAATGCGTAAAGCACAGAGAAACAACACTTTTTCTTCCCAAAACTATTACACTGGATCACAAGCGTAATAATTCGGTATGTTTTAATTCAGGGATGACTACTGAACCACATACCATGGTGTGAGGTAAGTTCAGTAAAGAGACAGTTAGGAAAAATACCAATGAGGATTTTTTTTCTGCTTTTAAAAATAACTGAAGCTATTTTAATGTAAAGACTTGTGTATAAGTTGATTGCAGGTACTATATACAGAGAGCATGCTCCATTACAACAGGCATAAAGCAATCAAAGTTATTTTAGTTTTCCCAACTAAATGGTAAGACATTTCAGAGGTTTGAGATGCTAAAGTATTTGACAATCAAATAAAGCTGACGTTTCAGTGCAAATGCTGAAGAATTACTTCAGCAAAACTATGATGTTCCAACACTACATTTCATCTTTACTAATTAAAACTGTTTAAAGACAAGAAACAGTGACATATGCTCAAGAATGTGAAGCTTTATTTAACCCCAGAAGACGCTGCCCTGTAGTCAGAGGTTAAACTGTTAGCTGTCATTTGGTGTACAGTATCTCTTGTTCTGATTCCAAACAGCTCACTTACTCATTCTTTTACTTGCGCTATTAGACTCAGATCACCTAAGCTTTCTCCACTGACTAAGCCACAAGGACTTAGGTGGAATTTAAACTGTAAATCAGTCTCCCTACTGTCAAATGACAAGGCACTGAAACACACTACAGAATTGCTAAAAGTAGCAATACATATTTGCCAAAACAGCTTCTGTATCATCAGTTTCAAATAATTGTGTACAAGCAGATTTTTATGTAGTTTCAGAGGATTTAGTATGTTTTTCCACTGCTTTTAAATCCTTCAGTCTGCAGGAAAGACACCAGCCCTCACTGCCTGTAATCCTGCCACAGTCTGGCACTAGTGAGCACCACAAACATACTACAGCCTCCTCAGGCTGGTTTCTATCACTCTGTTGAGAGGAGCTTCTTAGAAGCATGGAGCAGACCACTATGGCTAAAAGCACTAGTATCAGCCTTCTACCTCTTATCAGCTGATGAGCCTGACCTGTCTATGAAGTGTAACAGATTGCCCAGTGACAATTCCATTTTCACCAGGACCTTCAGGACTTTGAACGCAGCACTAAAATAATTTTTAAGTCTAGGGGAAAAATTTAGCTTTTTATTAGGCACTAATTTACTACATATGATGGCAACTGTTTTGGATTTTCAGAACAGCTTTCAGTCTCACTTATATCCATTGCTTCCGTTTCATCTATTTTCATGTCCCATTAACTTGAGAGATGACAATCATGCTTCTCACTCCTGTTTCTGCTTGGTTTCTGGCCAATTTCACCAGCAAGTACTCAGGATGAAACACTGAAATTGCAACATTTCAGAAACTGATTTTAAAGAGGAAACATTTATGATTTATGAGACATTTACTGACACATTACAATTTACGTTGCTGGGATAAGCAGCCAGCAACATAAGCCTCTCCCTTCAGTGAAGCATTTGGGCTTCCTACCTTGACATACACTGTCCCAACTCTGTGTGGTTCTAACTGATGCATGTGTCTTACAGTGTTAAATGTTAAAATAAATGGTAAATATAGAATAATTACTGTCAAAGTTTAAGGGACCTTCTTCCTTCCTTTTTGAAATATAAATGGTTTTCAAGCACATAACACATTCAGGCATTAAACAAGTAAAGCCTTAAGCCCTCTCAGGGCATAAGAACTATTCATTTACTGAGCAAAGAAACACAATTCAGTTTTATTTAGATTGGAGTTTACATTTTCACCCCAAGTAGAACAGAGTAGCAAGTCTGAACCTGAAAAGCCAGGTTCTTCATGGTCTCTCATGACAGTACTTTCAGTAGATATCAAAGTTCTTAAGGGTCAGATTTGCAGGATCTGTTGAAAAACATACCGGCATGAAAATTACAAACACACACTTTCTCACACAGACAAACCTCCAAGGTTAAAAATACAGAATGCTTTTACTACCTTAAGCAGATTTCTCCTGTCTCTGTAATGTTCGGATGCCAGATTCTTGTCAAGCATTTTACCTTCGGAGGCTGACAGGAAAGAAAACAAATTACAATGTTATCCCTTCAAATACAACTGCATCGCTGTCACAAATCATAGAACTGAAAGAGGCAAACATTTGATATTCACAGCCTAGGTCTGCATGTTAGAAGACACTGATAACAACCTATGAGAGTTGCACCAGCTTTCTCCTCCCTTTCAGCCACTCTTCACAAAAGCTGGGCTGGTATTAGGCTTTTTCCTCAGAGAAACATAACTTTAAAGAAAGGCAAGAAAATTCACTCTCTTCACCTGGGTCCTTCAGGGGAAAGAAAACATTCCAGGTCATTCAGTTTCTTAACACTGAATGTTAAGTGTTAAGAACTTAACATCCTAAGGCTTATCCAAATTAGGGGTCTATTAACCAGCAGAGGATGCAATGGTAGTAACAGCTGCTTTTAAATGCAGACCTTCCTGTTGGCAACTGAATGTAAAGTATTACAAGAAGCATCAAGAAGGTGCATCATATCTGAACTTAAGACACTAACAGAAAAAGCCATCAAAATTCTTTTCAGACAAGATAACTAGATTTCTGAATTCCATATGATATCTGAAATACAGATTCTTAAAACACAGTCTCATTTGCTCTAGTTTTGTGAAGTAAATAGCAGGTCATAAAAATTCCAGGAGCTTAGCAACAGCATGTTGTTCCATCCCTGCTCTCCAAAGTACAATCTGCAGCTTTCAATCAAGCAGGTGATTTCTTATAGTGAATGTACTGGAATACATCAGCACAGGCCAGTATCTTTCATCACTTCAATTAAATTGCATACTACAGATGGAGCTATTTTCCTCCACTGATTCCCACGAAATCTTCAGTCAAGACAAAATAGCTTCCCAAGCTGTATTTGCATGCCAGAATGATGCGTTTTGTTGTATCACTTTGTTCTCAACTTCCCCCAATCACTTTTTTAGTAAGGTGTTGTGTTTTTTTTTAACTAAGACCCCTTGGCAAAAAAAAAAAATAAAATAAAGAAAAAAAAAGTAATATGCATGGCACTGAGCTACCAACAGCATCTCTTTTAGTCTGGCACTAAAAGAAGAAACACACATCACCACAACAAATTTACAACATACAATGCAGACGTCAATTTTCTCCACTCTTATTTCATGTTTATGCAGCAACTCAAGGGACACTTGGGACTACCCCAATATTGGATCATGGCACTACTGAAAATGCAGAAAATAGTCTCAAACATTTTACAAATGATTTTTTGTAAATCAAATCAAGATGACTTCAAAACACATGTTCTTAGAAGTTTTCTAACAGCACAGCTTTTCATTAGCTACACCTTCACACTGTTTTGAAGGATAATGTCTGGTTCTCAAGGAAGGGGAAGAAGCAGTATTTATTCCATGCCAGCAGATCAAGATAAAGTGCAAATTTCTACCGCATGCACCTTCAAACAGTGAACATATCACTGAGCAGGGAAAAAGTAAGCTTTATACAAACTAAGGACATGGATCTCTTGGAGCAAGTCCAGAAGAGGCCACAGAGATGTTGAAAGGGCTGGAGCAGCTCTACTCTGGAGACAGAACTGAAAGAGCTGGAATTCATCAGCCTGGAGAAGAGAAGGCTCCAGGGAGACCTTAAAGCAGCTCCTAGTGCCTAAAGGGGCTACGTGAAAGCTGGAGAGGGGATCTGGACAAGGGCCTTTAGGGACAGGACAAAGGGGAATGGCTTTAACCTGCCAGAAGGGAGATTGAGTTGAGCTCTTAGGCAGAAGCGCTTCCCTGTGAGGGTGCTGAGGTGCTGGCACAGGGTGCCCAGAGAAGCTGTGGCTGCCCCATCCCTGGCTGTGTTCAAGGCCAGGTTGGACAGGGCTTGGAGCAACCTGCTCTAGTGGAAGGTGTCCCTGCCTGTGGCAGGGATGTTGGAACTGGATGAGCTTTAAGGTCCATGCAAACCATTTTATGAGTCTATGTTTCTAGAACTCTATGATAAATCTCAAAATCCCCAAATTCTAAGTGAATTAACTGGTCTCATTTTTTGTATCATGGAAACAAAAGAATTTCCTTATCCTTTCAAAGTGTTTTCATTCTAAAAATCAGGAAAAAAACCTAGCTCTGACAGTAAAGCAGTTTTCTCTTTCTCTCTCCTTTTCCTTTTACTCAAACAGGACAACTGCAGCACTATCATGAAATTTCTCTTCAGACAAAACTTCCTCTTCAAGTTTGTTTCAAGTTATCTTTGAGTCTTCTTTAGACCAAATTCACACAGGATTTCCTTGAGCTGATGTTTCACTTGAATATGTCCAGCCTGCTCCAGGTCATACACATGACGCTTTGCACAACAAAGCTTACAAAACCCATTTCGCCTCTCAAACTCTTTCTTTACCTCAGATACTGAAAGCTGCACAGGTATACCCAGGCTTCACTGCGGGTCACAACACAAGAATGGATTCATTTTTTCTCCCTTTCTAAGCAGCCACTTACCTTTTAGTATCTCTCATTAGTTTTGACAGTGAAAATCTTTCACATCCATTCCCAGTCCACTTCAACATATTAGTGAATATAAATGGTACAAGAAAGCATTACAAGCATTTGAGAACTAGACATATACCAACTTGAGTTTTGGTGGAAGTTCTGCAGAATAAGCTTCAGAAGCGTCCTACAACTATGACTCCATTTTTTTCTTTACTGTTTCTAAAAAAACGTAACAGCCCAAAAGAGGCATTAACAGGAATGCACATTTCAGGGAGCAAGCTACAAGCTAACCAAGGCATTTTTTGCCACTCTCCCCTACCAGTTCCGTGAAGAGCTGCTCAAGATCGGCTGAAACTGAATGCCAAACACAGCTAAGCGTGTAGGAGAGAGACCATGTAGTAGAGAGACACAAGTCAAGGGAAATGAGGCCATATTACTGGATTAGCCAGCTGAAATAGAGGAAGAAGAGCTGGCTTACAGTAGCAGTGGGTCTTGACACAAGAACTGCCCCTGTCGTGCACTCCAGGTCCCTTAGCTTCCTTGCACTGCCTCAAAAGTTCCAGGCAGAGCCATGATGGAGTTCAAGCCCAATTCCCTTTCCATCAGTTCCAAAAAAAAGACTTAAAAGTATGGTCACCAAAGAGCTTGATGGAGGCCCCTTAATTGTAACATCTGATCATTCAGGAATCAAATCCCTTTGGATTGCTTGCTGTTTCCACAACTATCATGCCAGGAAAAGGGTCAAGACAGCAGCTCTGCTGTTAAAACTCCTGGCTATTGACCACTGCCTAAAGCATCTCAGGCACAAAAATATTAGTAAACTGGAGAGTCTCTGTCTACTCTTACAAAATGGTATGTCAAAGCCATGGAAGCTGCAAACAAGGCCTGACTTGCTGTGGCAGGCAGTTTAGTTTTATGTGAACATTAAACCAGATTTGTACCATTCATCAGGTTCCTTAAAGCACCAAGTCCCTAGTCTTGTAGCATTCATTATTTCATCAGCTGTAACTCAAGGCAGAAAAGGAGTTTGTTTCTGAAAAATCAATCCCTTGGTCACTGGATTTATTTCATTATTATTATTTAACATTTGCTCCCATCTCCCACTGACCTCTATTTCCAGGCAGCTGCTCAACCAAAAAAGCAGTGCTTTGGAACAGATGCTGTGGATGCAGAGGTCACACAACAATACTCAGTGCTAAAGGCATTTGCTGTGTACAACATTAAATGTTTTGCTTGCTGTTTCACAGCTTCCTATCTTTATGGACAGCAGCATTCCCAGCAGGCTTTGTAAGCACAAACACAAACTTCTGTTTGATTTACAGAAAAGCTCACGGATGTGCAGCCTAACAAGTATAATACTTTAAATGCCAACTGACAGGTTTACCAACAGATTTTAACACTTCTAATGGCATGGTGGGTTTGAGAACACACTACAGAATTAGCTAACCCTGCTCTAGTTTTCTTCTCATGATCCCTCTGCAACATCTGTATCAATACCAGCTGCTTTCTGTTCTGACACAATATCCTACCACCAAAGAAAACAGTCCAGAGGCTATCTGGTAAATAATATATTACATTGTTAAAGAAGTCCTTCCTTCACTGTTACACCTGTTAATGATACAAAGAACAGCACATTTAGAAAGTATGCAATGTATTAAGGGCCATTTCATGCATGTATGGATATGCAAGCAGAGACCAGTCAGGAATCAATGAGGAATCAGTGGGGTGACGAATTACTGCTAGCACTGTAGCACAAATCTACCTGAACCATCTTTGTGCCTCCAACACCTGATTAAAAACAGGATCTCTTTCCAGTTCTCAAGCTCAGATGCTTCTAAAACAATCCACCTCTCCAACAGTCTAAATAGGCTCACTTAATTATGGATATAGTGGAAGAACCCTTATTACATCTTATTGCTTTATAGATAATCATAAACATTTCTAATTTTCAGTATAGCAGCTCAATGTACAGAAGTCTGATTAAGCCCTAACCAGCTGAACACACTCTGTTCACAGGCAAGAAGCAGCACTTCACAGCAGTGCTTGCTCCAAAGCATCTCTCCTACATTTTATGCTCTTGAATCTTTGCTCTAAGGAAGTTTATTGCCCAGGTACCAAACACTGGTGTACATCCTAGTCAGTCATACCTAAAGCCCAAGGATACATTACTTCTCTGTATTCACAGACCCACTACTTTCCAAACAAGCCTCCCATATTTTTATTCCCTGGACAGAATAACGCATTACGGCTGCAGTCCACAATACAAAGTCTTCCTCTTTTGTTATATATTCTTATACTTTTCCACTACGTCACCGTTCTATTAACATCCACTTCTTTCCCAAGTACAGAAGCAGAATGCTTGCTTACGAGGAAAGAAGGGCAAAGAGAATTCTCCTCCAGAGGAGCACCAAGCATGCAGGATTTTGGTAGAAAAATGCTACAGGAATTAAAGGATGATTTACATAAACTATACTTTAAATTATGCAGATGTTTTTTACTGCAGGCTAAAAAGACTACCTAGAAAACAGATGCAGGCTCTGAAGCAGGGCTATGACAACTTGCTAGTCTTGTCTGGTCTTTTTTACTCCCAATATAAAACACACTCAGCACTACTGCAAAGAGCTGGATGCAGATGTGCAATATCCCAACCTTGCTTATGGGCTGGTCTGAAGAGCTCTATTAAGAACACTGCCATCACTTTTCTTCTGCCTGGTAGAAAACAAACTACAGCCTCAGCATAATTATCTCAATATTCGTTAACATACACATTTTCGTTTATAACCTAACCATAATCCAACTTTCAACCTAAATTACACACAGGCAAGCTTTTTATTTTTGCATTAAAAAATATAATTACCATTTGCTGCAGAACTTCTGAGCAGAGAACTGTAACAGCCAGAAGATTTTTTAATTATAGTAATTGAGAATCAAAAAAATCCAGATCCCAATTAACATTCAGCTCTGCTGTTAACACATCACACTTTACTGCAGCAGGGTTGTTTAGGTAAACATCTTCAACATAAAAGTTTAAGAAACTATAATGAGTCTATATTGTGTATATTCCCCTGTGCCCAACATTGCCACAGCGATTAAACTGCTATTACTGAGGATGACAGCAAAGAACATGAAAGGGTTTCTCCCTTTATACTGATGGCCATGTTTCTCAGGTATGTGATGGAACAATTTAGTCAAGTTAGAACAAGGATGTAGTTAATCAGCCTTAAATAACCACCTTTGTATTTATAGTGTGACAAGTGTGGGTGGCCTGTATTGTAGTGTGAAATACTTTGGTGATGTTAAGGGTAACTTAAAAAAAGCACAACCCAAACCATACAATGTAAACACTAACACAGCTACCTGTACTGAGAGAAGTATATAAATAATGACAGCCAGTATCCTAAACACTTTAAAACCAAAACAAAGCCAAAACAGCTTGAGCAGATAATCCTTGACCAATATTACTATGAAAGGAGAGTGAAATTCAAAGCTGTTTCAGAAATGCTGCTGCTCTTTGCATACATGAGGTTTTTATAAGCTATAGTGGACGCTCCATAGAATTTCAGACTGGCTTGGGTTGGAAGTGACCTTAAAGCTCATCCAGTTTCAACCCCCTGCCCTGCAGGGACACCCTCCCCTAGACCAGGTTGCTCCAAGCCCTGTCCAACCTGGCCATGAACACTGCCAGGGATGGGGCAGCCACAGCTTCTCTGGGCACCCTGTGCCAGTGCCTCACCACCCTCACAGGGAAGAACTTCTGCCTAAGAGCTCATCTCAGTCTCCTGTCAGGTTAAAGTCCCATCCCTAAACGCCCTTGTCAAAAGTATCTATTCATAGACTATAAAGGAACATTAGGAAACTTATGAAGTCATCTTCTGTAACAAAAATCTAAGTCCTCTGCTTCTAGAAACATAACCTTTCTACTCTGCTAGCAGTCTTAATGAGCCATTCTCCAAGTTCAGTCAGGGAATACAAGCAACTAAATTCCAGATCACTGCACCTCCTTCTCATTTGTATATAAACAATGCTAAAACTGCCACTACTACTTATACATAATGCTGAATTTCAGTGTGGTACATGTGAAAACAAGCCAAAGGTCTCCACTGTCCTCCCCTATACATTCTTCAGCCTCTTTGAAAGAAGAGCTCAGAACTATCAACAGCAAAAGAAAGCAAAAGGATGGGAAAAAGTTATAAAAAAAAACAAACACCACCACAACAATAACAACAAACAAACAAAAAAAAAAAAAATCAAGAAAAATTACCAAATTTCTCAAATTGAAGAAAATGAGGCTTCCTTCTTCCTGCAATTCATATACCTAACTGCAAATATTGAAACCAATGAATCAAGTTTCTTTCAGTATCAAACTATCAGGACAACCAAATGTGGGCCTCAATTGCTTTCCATTTTTGGAGTCAACCTTGTTCTTTTTACAGCAAAACTGGGAAAATAACATCTGAAGTTATTTTTACCATAATTGCATCTCCCCCCACCCTTGCAAGGTAAAGTACAATAGTGAAATGCCAACACTTCTCATGCCTGAAAAGGCCAAGCTGTCTGGAGCTTTCTATTTACCTACAAAAGACACCACAATCATATGTAGGTCTTCTGAAAAGCTGTTCATTTAATAACCATTGACACTGTTACTTTGCAAAGATATTTAACTAGACAGCCTGGGAGACAACCAGTAGAACTGGCAGAGCTTTAGGCCACTTCTCACCACATCTGTGCTTTCCAAGGCCTCCGCTGCATGCTCTCAGGAGCGATTAAGCACCCAAATCCAGTACCAGAATATAAGCCACCATTCTGAAGGCCACAAAGAGGTCTCTGTTCACTTATTGCATCCTTTTCTCTTAGATATGCCAATTTTTGTGAGAAGAATCATTAAGATCTCAAGAACAATTAACAAGAGAGAACACATGAAAGTGGCACCTCAGCCACAAGGGAGACTCTCAGGTCCTGTTTCATCTGTGCTCCCAAGCAGTTTCTGCCAAGAGTTACCAGTAATTATTCTTTAAGGCATATAATATTGAGGCAATAAAAGCCTCAAGGCTGCTTGGCTGCAAACACTGGACTGCAAAAGAATAGCCAGAAAAAACACTACCCCCACTCCCTGGACTCACAACACTGCATCTGGAATCACTGTGTCCTATTTTGAACTCCCCAGCAGCAGATATACGGACAAACTGGAGTGAGCCCAGCAAACAGCCGCCAAGATCAGATAAGATCAGAGCACACATAGCACAAGGAGTTGAGGGTCCTGGATTTGTTCAGCCTGGAGAAGAGAAGGCTGAAGGTGGGGACCCTACTGCTGGCTACAGCTCTACTAGGAGATGGAACTGGGCTCTTCTTAGAGATACACAGTAATTGGTTAAGAGGCCACAGAAAAGCTGAGAAAACATAAATTATTACACACACACAAAAAAAAAAAAAAAAAATCACAACAAAAGTAGTTAAACATTGAAACAGAGGCTCAGAGAGCCAGTGAAGCCCCCATCCTAAGAGATTTTGAAATGCCAACTTTCCCATGCCTTAAGCGACCAAATCCAACTTTTAGACTACCCCAGCTTTAAGCAGGAATTCAGATGACCCCCAGAAAACTCTAGCCAACCAAGATTTTTCTATAGCCCATGATATTTTAGTAGCAGATAGAAGATGCTTGCTTAGTGGCAACACCAAGTTCCCTCTGAAGTCCTATTATCTGGAAAGGAAATCTAAACTGACAACTATTAGCTTAATGACAAATACTTACCACCATATTGTAGGCATCGGGAACTTCAGTTTCAAACTGAAACTTTCCACCTTGGTAATAGCCCTCATCTAAAGGAGAAAAAACCCAAGGATAATAGTTAAGTAAGAGAAAATAACAGACACCATATAACACAAAAGATCTGTCATTACAAAGATTAAAATCAAACACTTAACCTAGTTATACCTAACACTAGCTGCCACCCAGCCCCAAAAGAGCATGAACATGGTCTCTTCCTCCACTCTCAACACCTGTACAGCAGGAACTTTCAGTCAGAAGAGTTAAGAGTCTCAGAATGACACTGGAAAGTCCACCTTCCTCATCAGAATACCTGGCAATAGTGAGACAGAGGAACCTTTGATGGAAGTTCTTGCGTCTGCATGAACATAATTCAGCCACACATCAGCCACATAGCACGCAGTACCACACCACCAACCCTTGAAATAGGCTGGATACATATTCCACTTGCTAATGCTAAATCCTCCTAGTATATCTTGTGCAGATAGGTACCCAGCCCACAGTGGGGGTGTGGGACATCTAAGGAATGCTTAGGCTCAAACTACCTTGTGTACTCTAGCTCTCTGTATCACACAGTGTAGCCACGGTGAAGGCCTGAAGGTAAGGAAGGCTGTTTATCACTGTATGACAGTATACTTTTTAACTTTCCTTTGTAAAGTTGCTTTATGTGAAGTGGTCCATAGTTTACAGAAAGTTTTATTATCTTGCTTGTTCCAAACCACTAAAAGAAAATAGCTCCTCTAATACAGGTCATCAGAATCCTCATTCAGGATGTTTGTTGTCTTTTGGACTTGCGGCATTACCAATCCCTACACAGATCTAGCATGACCTTCTATTTCCTATTACCAACTACTGCCCCATATCACTTGCTCAAGTTTCAGTCAATGCTACAATCTCACCACTGTCAGCATAAGCCTGTAGCTTCCACACTGCAACTGCCATAATCACAAGAGAGCAGTCAGCTCCTGCCCTCCTCCTCTTTGCAACCTCTTACCAGCTTGCTTTCTGAAAACAAGAGGGAATCACCCTGTCAAATAACACAAACCCTCAGTTATAGGGGGAAGTGAGCCTGTAAAAGCTGATGTTGCCAAAAGATGAGGCTCAAATGCACACTACACCACTCCAAAGGATCTGTGCCTGCAGAACAGCAAAAGAGCTGCTGGGACAATATCGCAATCCAGCTTCTCCCAGGAGCCTGTATAGACTGCAAGAGGTTCAGCACATGAACAGCATCAGAAAGTTTGGGCTTCAACAGTAGCAGAGGCACAGTGTGGAAACAGAGTGTGGCTGGTATTTCCCACCCCACCTAGTTATGTTTCCAGCTGCCTCCACACTCAGCTATGCAAGATTTAGCCACTGCAAATCTCAGTTTAATAACCTGGCCAGAACACAGGCTTTTCAAACACGTTCTCTGTTGCCACTCCAATCCAGCTTTGAAGTGTATTTCATTTATTAAGCAGACTTTTCATGCCCCCTTTGCTTAACCAGAAAGTAAATGCACATGCACTGATTTTTATGGAAAAAAAAAAAGGCAAGACAAAAGCATTTATCTTTTGTCTTATCTTTGTAAAGAAGCCATTTCTAATGAATGAGATGTAAAAGGTGAGTTATACAAATATCCCTTTGATGAAACTGCTCCCTGTCAAATGGGCACAATACTTGAAGCAGGACACTCACTGTTCCAGAAAGGAATGATAAGAAAAATGGTCCATTATTTCCCAGGAGTTCAAACAGCTGAGACACCACCACATTACCTCCTGGGTCACAGCTAACTGCACTTTATGCACCATCTAGCACACTGTAATAGCTTTCCAACAAAGTGTCAGGAATCCTCACTATTTCCAAGTATGATGTCATCCTGTGTAAAAAACACAGTTGGAATCACCTCCAGTCAGGACTCTGTGACAGGACTAAAACAAGCCACACCATAGAGGAATTAAGTGCTTATTACAGTGCAAGCCATGTACCCCAAAGCCTTCCATGGGCTCACAAGCCCTTCTCGAGCAATCACATGAAATACCCACATATGTTTGCATAGGGAGAAGCCTGCTGCAGGTATAGAAAGGTAAAGGAGAAATGCCAGCACTTAAGGTTGCTCAGGAAATCAGGCAGCAAGAAGTTACTTTCTTTGGCTTATTTTCACTGCTTCCTTTTTGTGGACTTAAAGTGTGCAGACTTTGTGGACTTAAAAGCGTGTGGCAACAACTCGTATTCTACCCCTGCTCACGTGAAATAGGTGCCTGTTGATGGATGCGCCTTATGTAAAAGAAAGGCCTCAGATTTAACGAATCCTCACTGTAATACAATTGTCCTAAAGAAACATTTGAGAATGGTTCCCAGGGAGAAGATCATGCCAAAAGACCGTAACATTCCTGCCAGTCAAGCAGCAAGACTAGAGCCATGTTCCACCTCTCTGCATGCTAAAAGCATGAGGCCCACAGCCTTGGCAGCATGCGGGAACATTAAGGTAGGTCCTTGACTTCAAGCACAGACAAAGATCACTCTGGCATTGCTGAAGAGATGCATGGGTTGAGGAAAAAAGCTGAATAATTGGTCTTCATTTTCTCTGCTCTTCCCCATCATGCAGACCTAGCTCAGGATAGCTCCACTTCTACCCAGCTATGGAAGAAATTCCCAGTGTCCATGTGCAGGATGATATCAGAAAAGGCAAGTTCAGATGGAGGGTACAAGACCAGCTGAGCCTCTCCCAATGTGTAAAACCATAACCACAAAAAGAGTGCAGTTTCCTGCAGGATTATGGAGATGAAATGGCATGCAGAGGGTTAAATTATCAGCAGAAAAGCAGCAGCAGGACCAGGTGGTGAAACAACACCCCTTTTCCTTAACAAAACCATGTTTTATATTAGCTCAAGCACTTTGTAACCACATATTAACACCTCCATAGGCTGTAAGAGATACCTCATGTATTAACTCAGTTTTGTCTTATTCATCTTCCTGTGTTATATGTAAGGCTGAGAAATCTCTGGAAGACTTGGAGCACTTCATACATTGTGCCTCGCACTGCAGGTCATTTCCACATATTTTCGGGATGAAGTCTCCCTCAAAGTCAACTCAATACTAAATGCCGTCTTGCATTACAACTCATATTTCAGGTTTCCCTTGGCATCAGTCTATACTAGCACTAACAAAGAAATACACTGACTATGCTACTGGTTCTGTTACAAAATAAGCAAGGATGTAATTGCCAAAGTAGAAGCGTAAAGCATCTCTCCTCCCTCCTTTACAATTCTGCCTGTATGTTTGTAAGGTTTTCACTAAAGCAACAATAAAGCATGCTACTCATTACCCATCTCCCAAAGGCATATTAAACATTCATATCTCTGGAGAACCTCAGTACCCAGCCAGAAATCTTGCAATGCATTAACAAGATAAGCCTTCAGAATCAAGTCATCTTACAGCATCTCAAGGAAGTCAACAGGCTCTTCCACGTGGTAGTTTCCTTCCCTGTATCCCACAGCATCCATACAGACTAGGATAAAGACCCTCAAGTTTTTAGGCATGGAACAGGGGTGGGGAAAAAAAATCAAATTCTGGCAGAGTTAATGATGAGGAAAGTACTACAATTCAAACATAAAACTGTCAAATAAAATAGCTTTAGCATATAACTTAAGAAGTCGGCCAGTGATGAGACTTTTGCAAAAAATGTGAGCTCCAGTTTTCCTCCTACCACTTAAATTTATGTCTTCAAGCTGCATTAACAGCCAGCATCTCTCCCACTTCAGTTTGAAGTTTCATTATCAACAACTTGACTATAATCTGTTTGTATTCATAAGGCGTTTTGATGGCTAAAACTGCTGTGAAAATACTAAATCAAATCATTTTATCACTTTAAAAGAAAATGCAAGATAATTAGGACAGGCCGCAAAGGATATGCTTTTGATAGTAACTCCTTGAATTTGCAGCGTTGAAATGCTCAGCCATGCTCACTGAGATTTGTCATTTCACAGCACACAAAACAGAGAACAGGCTCTTTATTAATTCCCCGAAGAACTGGGCTCTAAAATAACCACACTAAAACCAGACTACTCCAACTGTCTGGAAACTGCAGTAATACTGTATTAGTTATACATATTCCTATAGTTTTCTTCATGTGTATGCTACCTAAAACTCACCTTCTTCATTTTTTTTTTCCAGGTCATTACCATGTTTTAGTCTCAGATTCCAATTTTGTGCTCCAAATATCAGTGCAGCAGGCAGGATTCTGCCTGCATTATAAGCATCTCCTTATTTTTCCTAGGTTTTGATCCAAGTGGTATTGGTGCAAAAACAAGAACAGAGGCAAGTGCCTGTCTAAAGCATTTTTTTTAAAAGAGCAATTGTTTCAGATGACAAAAGAAGCAGCTTCAGACAGCAGAGAAAGGCAGCAGTATCTGCCTCACTAACACAGTTTGTCTACTGTAGCAGTAAAATCTAAGTCTTACCCATTTTCTAAGATAAATCCACTCAGGGTGCACTGCAGAAAGCTATAACATAAAGGAATTCCAATTTCTTTAATTACACAAAATCAGCAGTCGCCCTTGGCAAGATTTTCTGCAAACACAGTTAATTTAAAAAACTCACTGTCACCAGGATAATTTTGTGACATTAAATACTTACTAAGAAAGGTTATTATGAGAAGTGCAGACCAAGGGAGCTGAAGTAATTTTGCTTTGGTGATAAAGTTTATTTTCTTACTCAAATTAGTCTTTTTGTGAGAATTTAAAGAAGCTGCTTTCTCTGTCCTTTCAAGCCCAGACTGCATTAAAGGAAACATCGGGCATAGGCTTTGTCAATAACATAAGGTTAGAACACTGACCACAAATGGCATTTCTAGTGTTAAAAAACATGTTCAGTCAGTACCTTCATGGAACCCTGACAGCCAGCTTCTTCCAGAACTGGCTTGGTGTAAGATTCCTTACAAAAATGTGGTTACAGAATTCAAGCTCTCATATTAATCAGAATATATGAGAATTTAAACATTAGATATGAAAAGAACTAACACTGTTCTACCAAATCTATCATATAAGGATGCAACTTCTGTAACTACAGATAAGCAAACTGAGAACCTTAAGGGAGCCAGCAAGGGCCTCCTTCCTGAGCAGACTACCAGCCCTGGCTTATACACATGTACTGCATAGGTCCTAAATGGGAACTGCAAGGCAGCATTAGGTATTCCCTGGCACCCGCAGATGTGCTGAGCACAGCTCTTGATCCGTGAGCTGCAGAGGTATTTGCAAAGTGCTCCATGAAGAGGCAGATGTATGAGCAGGATTTCTAGAAGGAACTCAGTTTCTCAATGCAAGAGAGATTTATAAGCAAGAGGAAAGCAGAATCTTCCTCTGGGCTGTCAAGATTCATGCAACATTGTTTAGACGCTACAAAAATAGTTGGCTCAAGCAAAGATTTTTGGGCCATTTGAGACAGAAAAAAGATCTGTGATGACCACCTACCTGCCTCTGCTATCCCAAAGAAAACTAAGATTTAGCATACTCTACAGAAAAATGTCAATAAAGGAAGGCAATCAGAAAGCTGCAAAGATTTTCTTGGTATGTGTTCCATTTTGCCTTTGGAGAGCTGTGCTAAGCTGTATCTGATCCCAAGATTCTGTACCTGAATTATGCACAGCTGAAAATAGATGTTTACTTGGGTCAGACTGCAACTGCAGAGACTTCAGCTGTGCAGCTATATTTAGAGCAACAAAATGTTAATTAAGATCATATCATTCCCAAGATCATTTCAGCAAGGAAGCTAGCACAAAACCCATGCTCTGCATTCAACTACTGTCTTCTGACTGCAACATCTTCCTGCACAGCAGTTAACAGAACATAAATACCTATGTATTTAGATATTATAGAATTAGTATGAAGAAGCTATCATTGCTTCACATCCCTAACTCACACAGTGATGATCTTGTAAAGTCGACTCCTCTGCAAAACATAATAAAGCAGCATCACATAAACTGGGACAAGACTAACGCTCACCAAGTAAGCATGAACACATCTCCTACACAGAATGAGATGTTAAAAGTCGTGTAACAACACCTGCATTTATTCTTTATTTACAGTGACTAGGGCAGTCTTACTCATTTTCCCATCACAAAAAGGAGTCGCATGAATGGACATGATAACAAAGACCACCCACGATCTCCACTGCTGAGGAAGTCCTAGTGGATTTTGGATAATAAGCAGCAATAGTGACATCTAGTGCTCATTTGACTTCAAGATACTGGATTATGAGAAACATACTACCCTTTGAAGGGTAAATCTTGTTTCTATAGGTAAAACACCAGGATGACTGCCATACTGTATTGGCATTCTGTTGAAAATGTGCCTCTACAAGAATTAGTTGGCAGGGAGATATTGATCCCGACACATCTAACTCAATTCAGTGTACTGTACGTGTCCATGTTCTTATTTAAGTATTTGCAGAGTCCCAAAGGCAAAACACAGCAAAAATAAGTGAAAACGAAGTTTAAATGATCTTCCATAAAACACAAGCACAACTTTCTATCCTAAAATGGACAGCTATGTGAGCCATTTCAGAAGCTTATGTGGAAGTAGTAAATTCTGAAAACATTTTTACTGAACATCATGCCTGAAGCTTCACAGTGTGCTTAAGTTGCATTAATAATAAAAGATATTTCCACATACTTCAGTATTCAAAGACTAAGAGGCTCCTACTTGTTAAGCATCATCAGACATGCATAGATGTGAAGTTTTCCAGCAGCGCTATATCTGTCATCTATCTCTTTACCTCTGCAGAGTCAAGCAACCAGTAAGAAAACAATAAATTCGTAACAGGGTTGTAGTATGGCAATTTATCTAGATGTGGTGCAAATAAAGCAAGGTGGTCTGAAATCAACCAAGAGGAAAAAAAAAAAACAATTCAAAGTGAACAAACTAGACCTGATTATTTCCTAAACCTGCTCGGTTTTGATGGCCTTTTTATTGGCATCTACTACCCAAAATCCAGCCCAGTTTCTCCACTACCTCTATATAACCACTGTATTACAGCCAGTCTTTGACTAGAAAGTTTACTGGATTCTTGAGCAAACTCTTGGAATAAATGTTTCCTTAACACGAGCACACTCAAAACCAAAAGTAACGTTTAAAAAAATTACCTGGGGTTACAGTTAGCTGAAAGTAATGAAGCTTGTTTGGGTCAGGAAAATTCACTTTACATGTACCTGTGAAGCAAAAGTATAATTTACATCAGAAAATTGGTTTTCCACTGCTGGGAAAGCAAGTATCTCATCTTTCATATTCTCCAAATTCACTCCCTGATTAATCCCTACCTTCCAGTCAAGTGATTTCCTCTTACACTTTGGCTCTAAGCACCTCCTCCCTATACTGTTACAGGTCACCTGCAGTAATGGAACTTCACTTTGAGCTGAGGAAGAAACTTATTTCCTTTCAGTAATCCATGGTGTCTCAAATAGCTTAAAATGCCAAAAGATTTGGTTTTCTGCATAGATCACAGCTGCATGTTAAGATGACAACATACAGAATACGAGCACCTCTTTCTTACAAGTTCTTTAATGTTAATGTGTGTATCTTAACATTTGATCACACGCTGCAGCCTGCAAGAGGTCATGCCTCCACAGCCTGATTCTCACAAAGGATTATTTATACCTGTATGGTATGAGATACAACCTTTACTGAAAGCCTCATCCAAAAGCCAGCTCAGCTGTCAAACTGAACAAGTTTCTTCTGTATAACCAATTACATGCATTAACATATAGAGCACCATTACAAACCAAACACATTTTATTCTCAGACTAGATGTATTTAAAGAGAACAGTGACAATGAATAACAAGTGTGAAAAAAAAAAAAACAGCAACCTGATAAAACTAGTCAGTGTTTTCAGTTCAACAGATGCAAGTTCACAGCATAAAAGCTCTTTGTTAGCATTTCATGACAGAAACCAAGTTGCCTTCCCATGCACAAAACTGGCTTTTCTTCACCATGGCAGAGACAAGCTGTCAATCTGGCACTAGGTGTATATATCCATGGATACACTATTATTCATATTATGCAGCCGTTAGCTTCTTAACATATCAGGCTGGCTGTTCTTTTTCTGTAATCAAGGAGCCAAATAGTATCAGAGATAAAGACCCTATCTGCCTGAAAAAATAACTAGAACTATACACAAACCCTAGTAATGCATTCACATTGTAGTAACTACAAACCCTGATATGTGTTTCTCAGGTGTTTGTTATCCTAAAGAGAGTCTACAGAAAAAAAAAAGTTTATTATTCTGTGAAATCTCTGTAATTGCCTTCAAGAAAGAAGAACATAGAGTTAAAATAACGCCTCTTCCTGGCATCCCTTCTTACTGCTTCTATTGTGTATTTTTTGCCTTTGTAACTCCTCCCATCAGGCAGTCTGTACACTGAAAAGCCTGATTTTTAAGATCTGAATATTGACCTGGATTTGGAATCATTAGCAAGTAGAAGATGCTCATCAGAAACAGTACTGAGAATTTTTCTCTCAACACCCAGAGAGAAAAACACATGGTCAAAGCTCCCCCTAACTGGGGAAAGACTCTAAACATTACAAGCTACCTGCAAGCATAATTGCAGAGAATGTTCACTGGTTTTCTTGCAAGATAAACACATGAACAAGATGGTGTGAATGCACAGCACAGTAATAGCCTGCACATACATTCTCAGTCTGTTGCAAGCAGTTCCTGCCTCTTTCCCTGCAGGTAAAACCGTCTTAGTTACTCTGAAACAGGAACGTGCACCACAGGAAGTTCTGTAAAGCAAGCAATGAGCTCTGAATGTAACTGAACCTGCTTAAGCAAAAATTTGTTGTGCTCGCCTGTATTCTAAGAACTCACGGCAGAATGATGCTGTTCTGGTCAACACTTGAAAAGAAAGAGCTCAGCAGTAACTCAGCTTCACTGTCAACACCCAGCCTTAGAAACAAACACAGAGCAGTAGGAACTTTACTCCTCTTTATAAAAGGGCTTTGTGTTTTGCTGCCCATTACAGAACTAGGCTTTCTAAAGCAAAGGAACAGAAAGCACTTGATTTTTAATTACCCGTCCTCAGCTCTAGAAGCAACAAGCCATTTACCTTGTGCTCTTAAATGACTACTTTAAACTGGCTACTAATATTTTCATCTTTTAGCAGCATAACATCCATTACAAGTAACATGCAGGGCTAAAATCACATAATTTTGCCTTTTATTTTTTCTAAAGGAATAAGGATCACTTTAAAAAAAAAAACAAAACAAAACTACTTTTCATGAGTATTTTCACTACTAACCCACACATGAGGTTACAGATCGCATGGGAAAAAGCACTAGGTTGATTTCATGTGTTTCCTGAGAAACTGGTTATTTTCTGAAACAGATCTCCTGTTTTGAAAAAGACAGAATGGAGGAAGAACAGGAGTGAGGTTATAAATGCACTCTTCAGTTCCAGGTACCTTTTGGGTGGTTTATAAGAGGGAAGCTCCCACTCCACCAGCAATCAAATTTTGGAGCCAAATACTCAATACTGCTTCCAAAGTACACTAATTTTACTCACTACAACCCCTTAAAAGGGAGCAACACAGAAAATGAGTGGCAGTTTTGCATAGCTTTCCTTCCATTTGACACAAGGTTAACCAATGTACAGGGGGGTTGTACAAGGGGGTTGTACAAGGGGGTTAGAGGAATTCGCTTGCTTAAACAAAAGTATTGCCTGTACCTATCATGCCTACTAAGCAGAACAAAGGCACTAACTATTGATAAGGAAAAGCAGACACCTGGTTCTATTGACAAGGAAAAGCAGAGGCCTGATTCTATTGATAAGCAGCTATTGATAAGGAAAAGCAGACACCTGAAGGGGGAGAAGCAGATGGTTTATGGCTGGGACACCGACCAAACCCTAAGGCCATATGTGAAAACTAAAAGGTGGAAAGTTCAAGAAAAGGAAGACTCATTTACTTCATCTTGAAGACTCCTACCCACAGGAGGAAGACTCATTTACTTCATCTTGACCAGATGAAGCCCATGACCAGAGGGGGTACTGCGCAGGCGCAAAGGACCTTCTAACTCATTATAATACGAAGCGGGGATAGGACATGAATATGTATAGGCGTATTGTGCAACCTTATGAATATATATAACTTTAGAGAATAAATGTAGAGGGAAACAACACTGAGGCATGCATGACTTTGAGGAATTATCCCCGTGGGTCTCAGCGCTGAATAAAAAGCATACCTACTTTACAACTTTAACGAGTTGTGGAGTCAATCCGCGCATCCCATTAGCATTCATACTTCAGTCAAAACATTCAGTTCTATAGTCCTTTTCCCCTTAAAAAGCATGCCATTAAATGTTATACTTACAAGGTAGATTAGCTTCAAGCTCTGCAACCTCTGTTGAAAGAGGAAAAAATCAACTGTTATTTATGCAAGCAAAACTCCACTCCTGAAGTCCAAATAGTCAAATCTCATTTAAACCACTCTGTAAATCAAATTTTACTTAAAAACATAATTAAGCTGCAATGGAAGTTTGCCTTGAAATTTCTCTTTTAAGCACCACAATTCATTACTAAAAACTCTCATCTGCCCTACAGTCAAATGTATCCTACTGTGATTAGGAGTTTCAGCTCTGCCAAGACTGAAGTGCCAGGCCTTCCAATACCCAGAGCACTGGCATTTCAAAAGGTGGCATTATCCAAACCCCCAAAATTGTATATATATGGCACTAAAATCTGGAAGGCCAGAATTCCACAGCCTGCAAAACACAAAAGCAGAAAAACCTCAAGAATCAAGGTGCCAGTCCAATGACGAAAACAAGCACAGGAGGTTCACAGCCAGCGTGAGCATCAGCACCATCTGCAGTATCCAACTGTTAAAGCTCTTCCATCATCAGCTAGATTGCCTCAGGTCATGCACTGCTTTTGTAGGGAAGCCTCCAAGCATGATAGCACATACTGCACACCTGAAAACAGCTACTGAAACCCTAATTCAAGGGCACTGTCAGATGTGGTCCTGTGTGCAGAAATCAGCATCAAGAGCACCAAAAACAGAGCAAGACAAACCTTCACTTCAAGCACCTGGAAGGGTAAAATGCACTGGTCAGTGCATCCACTGTACTCCCCTCAAAACTCTGCACTGTCAAACTCAGGAGTGTTATGATTTTTCTTTTTTGCTCCAGTGTCTGTTGGATATTTCATCTGGAAGCACAGTTTGTTATAGATACACAGTCCAATTAAATTTTATTATATTTCCCATGCATAAAACTTAGAAGGTATTCATAAAAGAAAAAGTAACCAGAGTCAGCTGCACAGCTCCTAGGAAGGGAAGCACATTCACTTTCTCTACCATGCTATCTTCTTTGGAAGACTCACTGCTTTCTCCCTGTATGTGTATTTTACTGAAGTCTTACTTTAAATTACTTTTATTTCACAGAAATATGAATGAGATGCATCAAGATAGCCCTTCTGCCTTTACTTCTGAAGTTCCAGGAAACTTAAATTTAAATAATATATATTTTTTGCATTTCCTGTAGGGTTTTTCCCACCATCACCACTTGATTCCTAACTTTGCTTTCTGGTCTGCATAGACACAGCCCATTTATTTGGGCTACCAACAATGTTTAAGAGTTCAACGGCAACTCTGAAAAACACAAATCTAAAGAAAACTGTAATTCAGTTTAAGATATAGGGAGCTGTTTCTTGGCGCAGAACCCAAACTCATCACAACTAAGAACTCCCTAATTCCCCAGAACCTTCCTTGCATCCATGCTTATCAAACCTGGCTGGGCTCTGCAATGAGCATGATGCATATTTGACTCCCACCTCCCACTTGCTTGGGACAGCCCTGTAGTCCTACATCTGCAGCCTACTATACTGAGAGAAAACCCCACCAAACTGGAAGCACTGTTTCACACACACCTAAGAAGTTCACAATTGCACTCTAAAATCCCCCCCAACACTGGTGACATGCTTCTGCTGAGTTTTGAAAGAGAACTGCCTTTTAAAGATACCAAAAATTTAATTTCAGCTATAATCAAGGGGGGTGAGATTCATAACCAAAAAGTAAAACTAAAGACATGGCATTAACCAACTACTGGAGGCTGCAGCTGTACAAATGCACTGTAGGACTATTCCCCCACTCCTTTCCCTTTAAACTCATCAGCCTTTCATAGTGGGAGCCACTATTAATCCTCAGTAGATGGCAGAGTTTAGGAGCTGGCTCTTATTTAAGGAGTTGGCCATTTTCCTTACTGGTTTCTGTTCTTCTGTTGTTTGGCTTTAATAAAACCTGCCCACTCTTTGTTTCAATCCTGGGAAAAGGGCAGCAGGGCAAAGAGGGACACCAATGGACAGCACATGGTCAAACCCAGCAATGAAAGGGCTGAGCTGGGGCCTCACTTCTGCCTCCTGCAAGGGTCAGAGAGTTAACTGATCCCCATAGATCATTTGAAGTGTGAAGATTTCCTGCAGTGCATTCACATGTCTGTGTTTCCCTTTGTTTCATCATGAGTGGGTTTTCCTGCAAAAACATGAAAATGATGGTGCTCACCCACACCCATGAGGATGGAACAGTGTGCTTGCTCTTTGACGGTGTGCAGACACGGGGAGGGTGGGAGGCTATCATAACTAATACACACCAAAGCTTTGTGAACAAAGGCAAGTTCCCCAAAATTAAGGTTTCTAATTAACTCCGCAACAAAACACAAATTAAAAACAAAACAACCTGATAAAAATCTAACCAAAGAAAAAAAAGCCAGCAGTCAAAGACCTTCAATAATCTAAACTTTTAAAATAACATCAAGTAAGGAAACGTTACTACTAAGTGTGACACATAAACATTGATTAACAATGACTAGACACATTTAATGGACCAAAGCTATAATGTTCAAGTTTTCCAAATTCTGTGACTCTTTGGTAGTGACAGTCTTGATACTGAAATTATTTTTGTAATTTGCTTCGCCACTGGCATAGGGTGATAGGGTGCCCAGAGAAACTGTGGCTGCCCCATCCCTTGCAGTGTTCAAGGCCAGGCTGGACAGGGCTTGGAGCAACCTGTTGGCTCCAGTTGGAACTGAGGGAGCCTTTAGATCCCTTCTAACCCAAACCATTCTATCATTCTACGATTTTTTACTAGATCATTCAAGCTCCATTAAGATTCTGATGCTTTAAGTTACGTATTTTCTACATAAAGCAATACCACTAACAAGAATATTCTCTGTAAAAAATTGCCCCTTGTGCTGTCTGCCAACTTACTGGCAGGGTTTAACAGATTTTTAAATAAGCAAAATGCAGAAACAGCAACCAGAGCTCCAACACACTTATCTTCTGACAGCTCCAAAAGCCTCAGTAAATTAAAGAACAAACTTCACCTCAATTTGACATCCTCTTTCAAAAAACTAACTACAGCTGAACAGTAAAGAAAATCCAATCTGTGTTTCATGTTTTATGGCTAATCAGTACCTGTGCCTCAATTCACAGCCAGGCACCACACCGTTCCTTAAGATGACAAGACAAACCAGTAGATTTAACCCACGTCTCAGGAAATATTGCGCAAGAGCACTCCAGAACTTCCATGGGAAAATGGCACTCATCACCACCCACTCAGTGGGCATCTCACTTCCTCTCACAATCAAGAGGGCTATTGTCATGAAGCAGAAAACCCAGCAGTACTGCACAGCCCTGCACCTCCTCTGATGAGCCATCCTGGGTAGGTCTGAAAGCCCTGAAGTGTAGACACATGTCAGAGCTTTTGCAGGATAAAAACTAAGATAGGTACAGGCATCTCAAAACCAGACCAGCCCCTGACCAGCCAGTCTGGTGTTCCTCAGACCTGGTGTGATCTGGTGGAGGAGCACACTCAAGTGGCATGTGTATCTGTAGTCCTGCTCTTGACCCAGTATGCACTTGCTTGAACAGCTCCAAATTCTATTTTAAACCATTAAAAAAGGGTTTAACTTAAACAGACTTTTGGAAGAGCTGAATGCAAACTGATTATGTCTCAGAAGCAGTTCAGGAACTTTATAAACCAGGGGAGAGCTAAACTTAATACAAGCAATCAAGGCTATTTATAAATGATTTCACAATAACTACTCATGACAATTCTCAGGATAGAAAGAGGAACACACGCTCCTGACATGGGCACAGGCATATGGTTTATGAGACCCACATGGATGTTATATTCAGTACCATGCAGACTGTATTCATGTTATTCTGCTCCTTCCTCTTCCCCACCCCATCTCAACAAGTCATTGCCACATTGTTTACTAGCACTGCCACAAAGAGTCAGGCTGTATGCTTCCCACTGGGTTTTGTTTTGAAGTACACAAAGTGAAAGCATTATTTCCTCAACTGGAATGAACGTTCTTATCCACAGCAAATACTTACTTCTCTCTGGTTTTGTCCAAAAAGCCCCTTCTTCTGTTTAGTCCTTCTTTAATGTACATTGTTAATACTGCTTAGAGATGAAGAGAAATACCTTAACACTCTGACAAAAGTATTAATTCCAGCAGTATAATGCTGTCTGCCTCCTAATCTTATCCATCCACCTATATAACTTTCACTATTTAGCTCCTCAACTGTACAGAACAGTATTAGAAGCCAACTAAGCCACACAATGCTGCCAGTTTAGAGTAAGAGACGTGTATTTTCCTTCCACTTCCAAATGTTTGCTTGAAACAAGACACTATCAAATCCCATGCTTCAGTTTCTATACAAAATGCATTATCCTGACATCAAAAAAAAAACAGAAAAAGCCACTGTGGTTGGAAATCTCTTAACTCTGCAATACTTCATGTATGCTGAAAATCAGAGGCATCAGAAGTGAAGCAATGCACTGAATCTGGCCTCCCTTTGTCAGTCATGTTCTAGGAAAAGTCTCCAGTAGTAAATTTTCAAATGAGCTTCAACTCAAAGCTGTTTCAGAAATGCTGCTGCTGTCTGCATGCATGAACTTTTTATAAGATACAGAGCATGACCCATAGAATCACAGACTGGTGCGGGTTAGAAAGGACCTTAAGATCACCTAGTTCCAACCCCCGGCCATGGGCAGTGAGACCTTCCACTAGACCAGGTTGCTCCAAGCCCCACCCAACCTGGCCCTGAACACTGCCAGGGATGGAGCAGCCACAGCTTCTCCAAGCACCCTGTGCCAGCGCCTCACCACAGGGAAGAGCTTCTTCCTTATATCTAACCTGCACTTCCCATTTTAGTATTAACCCATTACCCCTTGTCTTGTTGCTACAGTCCCTGATGAAGGTTTCTTTTTTAACTTTCAAAAGTATTTTCTCCCCTCTCAGTTTTCCTCACCTGTTATTGTGAGGAGGGATATTCTGGTACTTGAAGGACTGAAGAAAGCAAATATATGGATTCTTCTGATTTTTACTTACAGTGCACATACACCTCACTTTTATAATCCGTTTCCCACTTCTGTTCTTTCAGGCTTATAAAAATGCACACTTGAAACATTTACAGTTGCCTGGATCTAGTTGTGAAAGCCACAAATGTTGAAGACAACTGAGGAATAAACCATGCTAATTCATTTTTATTTCAAGCTGTTCACAATCAAACCAGTAATATAAAACTGATTATGTGCACTTAAAAAAAAATAGGAACACACACTCCTGTAAATAAATTCAAAGGACAACTTTTGTGATCAATAATCATATACATTGCTGCTACTAGCATCCTGGAATATTCTCTACCTTTAATTCAATTTAGCAGTCAAATTCATTATACAGTATTAGCCTTTAATATGATTTGGACTTGTCCTTAGCCCTTTTCAAACATTCAGAAAGGATGTGCCTGTCAAGTTCAGCACTGCATGGCTTACAGCATCTTGCAGCCCCTCTTTCTAATGTAATGGATTTCCCCCTTAGAGATGAATTTAATATCAAAAATAAACTCTGTACCACAGAACAAATTGAAAGCTGCTAAAACAAGTGTACTGTTTTCTCTATTTTAACTTGTATACTGGGCCTACAGAATTAGGATCTTACTCTCCAATTGAGCTTATACTGAAAATCTAGTGAAAATACAGATGCAAGAGTATGTCACAACTTTTAACAAACTTATGCTTTATTAGAGCCTCTTTCATGGCCAGAGAGGCAGCAGATGCCCTTCAAGAACCCCTCCTCCTCACATCAGTAATTACTTTCTGCCTTCTCCAGTTGTTTGCATTTTCTCCATGTGATTTATGGTGAAACACTTTAGTCACTGCTTGGTGTCTCTCTCCTAGCCAGAAAGCCTCCCTCTAAGGGCTGCCAGCTGGAATTACTAATCCTCACCCCCCACACACCTTCAGACACTCATGCTCTCAGTGATTTCAAAGCAGTGATGTTTTCCTGCAACTTCTCAGGGTTTCAGGTCAGAACCACCGCCATGCTCCTCACTCTAGATACACCTTCTAACCTCCCACATGTGCTCCATCAGCTGCTGAGCTATTCAGCAGGGGACAGGCTGCTACAAAATCCTGCTTAGCAGCCATGACTTTGATGCTCCAGAGGAAGAACAGCTGGAAAAGAATATCCAGCTGTCTCAGAATTACTTCCCTACATAAAATTTTAGTGGCAGAGATTCCTCCTTTGATAATACATCCATGAAATAACCCAGCAAAACAATGCCCTGAGCCATGACTGATATTTAAATATGTAACAATACTGGATATTTAAGTAAACAAAGAAACAGCTTAGAAAAAAACAACAAAGGGCACCAGTGTTTTTAAAGTAGCTCTTTTACAAAGTTGGCTAAAAAAAAAGTCTAACTTGTACCCATCACTAAACCCAAGGACAGGGCATGACAACACGCTGCTAATAGCTCATGTCCTCCCAGTTTTACTAAAAGCATTTAAAATATTTTTGTGAATTTTCTTCTCACCCATATAGTGCAAATAGCTGACATCATTCCTGAATTATCACTTGTATTTCCTACTTTAAGGCAGTATCAGTTAACATACATATGTAGTTGGTCTGTGACAAATTTTTTACAAGCCTGTAAGCACCGTCTACACTTATCAGTGGCTGGGGTCATGGTCACCTATCCCGTAATCCAAATAGCATTGATCTCTTTTACTGGTCACTGTACACAATACATTTGAGGACTGCAAGGTTATCAGTGTAATAACACATCCTTCAGAAAGATCCTATAATCCTTCCTGAACTGGACTCTCTTATCAACACAAATAAGGCCATCTTTAATTTACCTCCAGATAAAAACCAGACACTGTCTGTATCTGGACGATACCTCTATTAAAACTAGATGTCTGCCTGCAGAATTTATTAGACTATTACCAATTTACCATGGATCAGTAACAGGAGAGCATCTCTCCAGCACATCACCACCACTGGGGCAGGCAAGCAGCTACCTCACCTTGGTTCATACACTATAGCCATCTCTCAGGGCTAGGTCAGATTTACAGGATTGCTTAGCACAGTTGATAGGGCAAACAAGTAAAGAACGTGCTGGGCCTTTTCTCACCTCCTCCTCCTCTTGTAGATCAGATTGATGTTTTAATTCACAGCTGCCAGCAGACTGATATGATTGAGCCTTTCACCCACTCTGCAACTCTCACCTGTTTGATATCTCCCACCTAAACAAGCATCAGTGACAACTTCTCTTACAAGCTCCCACCAGCTTTGTTTCAAATCTAATACAACAACCTGAAGTTGAGTGTACACCAGTGTATTACAGTTCTATATAATCAAGCAGTAAAAGACCCTGGAGTTGGCGCAGATGCCATAGTGTCATTGCTATATGCAGGCAGCTCTTCAAACTCATTCCTGCAGATCCATATGCGACTTAAAAACACTATCAACATCAGAATTCACTCAGGCTCTTAATCTTGTAGATGCTGCTGCAGCTGAGCTACCTTAAAGAGAAGAAGCAAGTTCTAGAAACTTTTGTAACTGAATGGTCTACATTTAGTTTGAAGAGTAGCTTAAAAGAGAATATCCCCAACAAATCTTCCACACTAGCTGCTAGATTTTCCTCCCACTTTCAGTGTAGTTATACAGAAGTGACCTACTGCTATTGTCAGTTCACATTTCAGTCCAGAAACCATTCTAACCAAACTGACAGCTGCTCCTACAACTTTCTTCGGAGAGCCACATGATACAACTTTCACACACAAGCATATCATGATCTAGTACTCACACTTGTCAGAAGGATGCCAGCAGTGACCTGCTTTTAACACTTGTCAGTCTGGGACTCAACTCATTCAATACTTAGTCTGCATTGGTTTGCTAATGGCAGCCATAGCAAATACAATGTCAATACTAATTTTCTATAGATACATTCCTTTCCCTGCAGACTTAGGTAAAGTTTTAGTCATATAACTGAAAAATGATTGCTGTAAGGGTACAGTAAAGTTTCTTATGACAACTCGCCCTGTTAAAGGCATTGTAGTATAAGTGTATTTATATTATACTGCTACCTTCCTCTCAAGGCTACATATGCAGGTTATTGAAAATATCAGATGTATATATTTAGTAACCTGGCTTTGTAGCTTAGCCTGGTTAAAAAGCTTATTCCTCCCACCTGATACCTTTTCCCTCACAACTGGAGTTAAAGAAGGATTTCCAAACTGCAAGCCTAAAGCAAACTCATCATGAGAATTATAACATCAGGGTTTAAAGTGTTTTAAAACTCTGTCCTTAAAACAGTGCAAAGGAACAAAATTATGAATATAATTTTCCTGCAGTCTACTTGAGACTTCCCAGTGCACTAAGGCAGCAGCAGTTGCATTGAAACCTTGTTCCAGCATACAGTTACATAGCAGAATCGACCCTAATTCAAACAGCCATATGCAATATTAGAATTAGGCAATATTATTCATGCAAATATACCAGTGTCCATCTCAAGCCATTCTGAAATAAAATCAGGAAATATGAGCTCCCTTTGACTGGCACGAATCCTCATAGTAACAGCTTACACATAAACACTAGCATATTTGCTATGGATCATTTTCAGCAGAAACATCAACCTAAACAACATACTGACACTAGATCAGGCTTCATAGCTCAAGCTTTAAAACTCAGCTATTACCAAAGGGAGTATACATGAGTGTAAGCCCATAGTAACTGCAAAGCGTCAGCACCTATGGATTTGTAAACACAAGCTTATCTATGCTACAGAAAAAATGAAGAGAGAGCTGTCCACAATTTTACTGTGAAATAGTTTAATAACCATCTCACAAACTACCTCATTCACCCAGAACCGCCACAAAGTAAAAGCCTGTGGTTTTTCCCCCACCAGTAACAAGCCAGCAACAGCCTACAGAAGCCTTCTTAAAACAGACCATATGACACTACAAAAATGAGTGTATTACACTACTTCATAAGCAACCTCCAGTGACCCCAGGCCCATGAAAAGTCTTCTTGCATTCATTTTTTAAGTTTTTTGAAGTTTACTGCCTCTGATCTATATCATTAAAGACCACAGGAATGTTGATGTTACTTTTAGGAGTTTCTTTTCTGTCACACACAGCTATGGTTTTGCTCAAAAAAATAACTTTCTAGCAAGTAAAATCTGATATTCTCCTATATACTCAGTGACACTTTCGTGACAATTTTTTATTGTAATGTTTTAATTGATGACACAGTTCCAATGAGTGCAGTAAGGAGGAAGCTTTTTATGTTTTACAACAGTCAAAGAAAATAAGTGTCCTAGAGGAAAAGAGCTGTTGGAGATGTGATGTATGACAATATAATAACCTACAGTATAAATCCTGAGGTAAGTCACACGCAATTTTAAAAATACTTCTGGAAATCACAGAATCAACTAGGTTGGAAAAGACCTTTAAGATCAAGTCCAGCCATTAATGCAATTTAGTATTGCTCGCTGGTGCACACCTGCAAACTGTAAATCCCCCAGTATTTAAATATGAGTTCCTTTCACCTTTAACAAGTAATTTATCCCGAACAGACACCCTCCGAGTTGAATCAGAAGCTGGATTGGATGCACGGGGTCCTCTGACACCATCATCCCGCTTCAACTTGCTTGCCAGAGTTAGCATTACTGCTGCCTTCAATCTAGAACACAAACACCAGAACAAAGTCAATGACAAAACTAAAGCATGAGGAAGAAAAGGGGAGAATACAAAACCAGGTTACAGTTTGCTCCTTATTCAACAGCTATTGTCATATGCTTCACAAACAAAGAATATGATATATACAGTTAATATGACTGCAATTAATGACAAAGCCTAAAGTACTTGAAGAATGAAAGCTTGTTTCAGATGTGAACACAGAGGGTTATAGTACACTAGGCCAAAAGGAAGTTCAGCTTTGCTGGAGAAAGGTCAGACTTTCGTCATTGTTTACAATCTAGTTTCACTGCACCATCTCCCAAATTACACCACTGCTTGACACTGGTCCTTTGAAAACTGCTGTGAAAATGCCTCTGCCACACAACCTGCCGCAACCATTCTCAGCCACACTTCACAGGACAATATTCAGAGCTACTTTTTGGCAGACATTAGAGAAACGGGAGGGGAGGGTTTAATGGAACAACTCTTTAACCCTAGGAAGTGAGCTTTGAGTTAGCTACCAGGACACAAGAAAGGAAATTTTTATACTTCAAAGAGTGCAATTAGCTACGCAGCTGCACAACAGTAACTCTTCACAGGGCAAAGGAACAGTAGAGAAAGTTACATACAGAGATCTAGTAACTGAAATGAAGATATTTTTGCTGTGCCAGTCCTCCACTGGAGAAGATAACTGCACTAATAAATTACAATAAAAGGCAGACTGCATGCCAAAACCATAAAACCAAAACATTCAGTCTGTCATGGCTTAAAACACGTTGACACTACTCCTAGTTGAGGGCAACTCAGTCTTCTTAACAGTTCAGCCAAAACCAACATAATGCTGACCAGGTCCCTAGTCTTTAGGTGGCACCACCACCACTAAAATGGTAGGAGAAATACTTATCCTTTAGTCACATGAATTAATTCAACAAAATAAAGGAAGAAAAAAACCTTGTAGAAAGCCAGCATATAGTCTTTATGTGAACTGGTCTGCACAGAGGACCAGACAGGTATGTAGCAGTTACCAAGAAACGGATGCTCAGGTAACATCAGCTCTCACAGTATAAAATGGAGAATCAGCCAAGATAATTGTAAGGCAAATAATGAAGTCCAGGAAACCACTGAGATGAAGACAAGTACACTGTGAAATGGCAAGACATGACACAAATTTATCTTTGCCAGCTTCAGTTCTGTATGTCTTGATATGTCTTTCATTCTCGCAAGCAAGAATGAAAGCAAGCCCTGAAGTGAAGTTTAACAGGTCCATTGCAACAGCATTTACTTCACTTGTCAATTTGTTTTTTCTTGCCCTAGAAAAAACAGGAGATAAAGCCTCTAGGCTGCCAATCTACTCGCTGCATCTGTACAAGACAGCCCTACTGCTTTCCCAAGGTTGTGAGAGAGCTACCAGGTTTATACCAAACATCAAGCCAACACCAAAACACTCATGAAGGGGTACAAACAAGAAATGAAACAACCACTATGACACTTGGATGTTGAGAAGAATGTAGTAAGTGATACAAGGTTTATACAAAGGAAAACATATTTCACAATAGTACCCAAGTATGAACTTCTAGTAAGATTTGCAACAAGGACAAGTTCTCTTAAGTTGAGAGGTATGTGTGGTTAGCTTCAAGAAAAGAAATACCTAGTAGGTTTTTTCCTCCCACTACACTAGAGAAAAAAAGAATAAGCAGACAAAAGTTTTTTTGCTTTTTTTTCTCTCCTTTCTTTCTCTTTTCTAAGAGAAAGACAATAGCAAGTTAAAAAAAATATATATCTATATATATAAAAAAGGAGGGAAAAGTATGAGAGTCTGCAAATAGTGACATAGGGTCGTAAAAGACCAAAAAAAAAAAAAAACTCAAATAAAACCAAAACCACCACAAAACAGAAAAAAAAACAACCTGTAAAATGAAGGTAAGATCGGCCACCACCACCCCGAAAAAAAATCCCACCTTTTTAAGTGCCAAATCCAAAGGAAATCAAATTCAATGGTAACTAAGTTCCTAAAAACATTTACAGATGTTTTCTCACTACTTATCCTAGAAACTAGGAAAACAGCGAGAAGTGTGACCAGTGTGGGAAAGAGATAATTCGCCCCAGCTATACCCCAAATTTTATCGATAGAGCACAGCAAGGAAGCGCTCAAAACCTGCCAACTGCAAAGGGAGAATAAGGCTTTACACCAGTGCACGACACCGGGGAGACCGGTGATAGAGGGGTACTGTGCTTATTTATAAGGAAGGGCAAGAGAGCCCCGGGATTTCTCTAGCTCCCTCGGAGCGAAGAAAGCGGCGGCCTGCTCTGCCCCGCACCGCCAGTGCCCGTTCCCTGCGCCGCCACGGGGGACAGGGGGACCGCTGCAGTGAAGACACGCCCCAGCTGGGCCAGGGAACAGGTCCCGGGGCTCCGCGGCCTGGCAGGTCGGGGCCACCCCGAGAGATGTGGAGGCACTGGGTGGGAAAGGGAAGGAGCCAGGCCTGAGGCGAGGGCAAACAGACCGGGCCTGAGCTAAGGGAGACAGCCCCTGACCCAGGCAGAAAGGAGGGCGGCCCGCTCTTACCTGAGCGCGGCGTCAGGGCCCGGCTCCCGCGGTCAACACCATCCCCGGGGCTGGCCCGGGGCAGCGGGCGACGACGGCACAGCTCCTCCCTCCGCTCCTCCCTCCTTTCCTCCCTCAGCGGCGGCACCGGAAGTGGGCAGCGCCGCAGACGCGACCGCCGCGAGGCGCGCACCCTTCAACCGTCTCTTCATCGCGAGACTTGAGATGGTGTCGGGGGCGCGCCTGCCGGGATCTCGCGAGAGTTGGTGGAGGAGGGATGTGGGGGGGTTTCGCGGCCGGTAAGGCGGCGCCGTTTTGGGTCAGCGGGGCGTGAGGGAAACCAGCGCCTGACATCGGCCCCAGCCACAGCCCGGCCTTCCCCCAGCACCAGTGTCACCTCCTACCGTCCCGTTGTGGGTCTGTGGAAACGTGATTTGGTTCAAGTAGAACATAAATCACACCGAGCCACCAGGGGGAAATGATAGGGAAAAAAAGACCAGCCGCTGTCAGGGTGATTTCCTCAGGGGAGAATACATACTACGCTGGCTGTAGCCTTTGCATTACTGCTTGCTTAAATTAGTTCAGTTACTCTACATCCCAGCAGCAGCTTAGTGGAAGCAATAGTCAGATTAAATCAGTGTAAAAAAAACTGATCATAAGAGTGCATTCAACGATCAAGAGTGAATTATTTGACATCATAACTAATGTGACCAGTTGAAAATTCAAAAACACCCACAATTAAGTTAGATCAGCCCTTTGATCTGTAAAACTTAAATATGTGCATAAACTTCCCAAATTCTTTGTTTGGTAGCTTTCCATAAATAAGGGGACCAAAATAAAAGCTATTAGAGCAGCATTAGATGGTTTGATGAAGCAAAGCTAGAGACCAGACACAAGGAAAGTTTGGCAAACAGCTATTGAAATACTCTCTGTGTCCTAAACATTCACTGGAATGATACACTTCACAATCACCAAAAATAAAATTGGAATCTAGCTTAGTCCAATCTAGTTAAACCAGTGCAGAACCATCACTCAGAGGCCTTAAATTGTTCTAACCCTTTCACAAGCTTAATGGGAAAGATGAGCACCCAGCTGAATTGGCCGTAAAGTATTTCCCTGTTCCACAGTTCAGTAACAGCCTCTCCACTGCAAATTGCTCATGCTTTGGTTTTCAGATGGGAAAAAAAATGTAACTGGGAGATGAAGAAATAAAGTAAGTGTTTAGAAAAACCTGCTCTCAGGAGTGCCGATGATGGCTGGAAAGAGTGAACATGGCATCCCTCCTTTTACTGTCTTCTGTGGCTATGCCACACGGACACACCAGCTGGGTGTCTAAAAATCACCCACTTCAAGGGGAAAATCTCAAAAATTATCCAAAACACTGAACCCAAGGGAGGGAGGTATGATTACAGGCTAATCCAAGTGCATGTTGATTCAAAATGAGTCCATCGGCTGGCTGTAGAGATGCAGGAGACAGACAGGACCCTGACAGGGCACCTCACACAGAGGCCGCACCTGTTCAGACCTCACTGCCTGCCTCCTCCCCAGCTGTGCCATGGCAGAGGGTCCCTTCTCCTTTGCCAGGCTGTTGGAGACTGTGTTTGTGAGGAACTCAAGATGCTAAGTGTCTTAGAAAAGCCTCTGTGTGATTCTGTTTCCAGATTCCCATATAGTTCAGAGCCAAGAAGATGTCCTGAAGATAGCTGTACCTTGGAGATCAATAAGCCAAAGCCATTTCACACTCTGCAGCGGACTATGAACCCTACGACACAATTTCATGAGCCCGTCGTAAAGCCTGCTGGGACATTCTGAAGCAGACAAAGGTTTCAAAGTCAGCCTCAGCACTCGGATTTCCCAGCTTGTTTGCTGGCATCATTCTGGGAATACAAGCTTGAATATTCAAGATACTGATGAACATTCCACTTTTGCTGATACTTTTTCTCTCCCAAAGGTCACTTGCCCATTAGGAATGTCAAGAATTCAATAAGCAAGGCAGACTCACTACAGCATTATTATGAGGCTCAAAATGCCCTATCTTAACAGCTAAGCTGCTCTTCAGAAAACTCAAGAAATCTGCTTCTATTTTGTCTTCAAGTATCACCAGCTGGCCTTCCTTTTTCTGCAGCACAGCAGCTCAGTTAATATCTGGCCACTGTGACCTGTGCTGGGATTAGTAAAACATTTTTCTGAGACAATTTATAAAGGTGCTGTCAACAAACTGCTGCCTCTCCTAAAGACTAATTAAAGCCAAGCCAATACAGTCCAGTACAGGCTGTAACAGTGTTCAGTCTCCTCGCACCCTCAGCCAGTTCCTCTTATTAGTGATGGGAAAAATTCAGCACCCGATGTTTGGTGACCTTCTGCGACTACTTGACAATTTCAGTTTATGACAGCATGAAGAAAAGTTTTTGCAAATCAGATTAATCTAAACTCATGCCCCAGTTACTCTTTTTCCTCAGACAGTGTTGTTGCAAGTCTAGACAGAGAGACAGTGCTGTTTACTGGAAGCAACAGTCTCCTATTTTTACTGTGTTCCCTTTCTACCCACATAACATCTAGTCTGGGAAAAACTAAGTGAATGTGTTGTATATATACAAAATATGTATCATAAGGGATACATGGTGAGTGCACACGCTTCCCACTCCCACAGTTTCTCAACTCATATTTATTCATTCTTTCATGTTGTGTTTGACAAGAGGTTTTTCTTATTCTCTCACCTCCTTTTCTCACTTAGGCTCAAAGAGCATAGTATAAGCTACTCCTGAAGCTGAACTCTGAGTCACCCCAGGGAGTGAAGAGACCAGAATCTTGAGCAATACTGTTTGCTTACAGAGAACCTTGGTTTTCAGAAGTACCAGCTGATCTGGGGACAATTCAAACTTTTCCAGTGAAAACTTTCCTGGTGGATACCCGAGTCAGGCATGTTTAAGGCCTCAAACCAAGATATTTCCAAAGGTGCTGCTGAAGAGGCAAGAGTCTCAAAGATTCAGCACTTGAGGAAGTAACCACTGGCAAGAGTAGTTTCTAAAGTAATTTTGTAATCTCATCTCAATTGATGCACATGTGATAGAATATTTCATTTTTTGATCATTGTGTCTGTGACCTGGAAAGTCATGTTTCCCACAGCAAGAATGCAAGCAGTTACAGGCATCACCTCCTGCTGCAAACAAACGCAAGGTTTCTTCTGTGTTGGATTTCAGGCAATTACTGAACCATTTCTCATTACCCCACTGTCACTGTTGCTAAAGCTAGAGAGAAGATGAAACAAACATCTTGCATTTATACTGTACCACCATTTAAAGAATATGCATGTCTTCTTCTGTCCTTATTGGTCTTTCTCTCAAGCTTTTATTTAACATGTACGCGTCTGCTGGGCAATTAAGCAAAGGAAGTCTGCTTTTTTGTTAAAGTATGAGCTCCTGCTTTTATAAGCAATTGTGAAAGTTCTCATATTGTCATGAGCAAAGAGAAACAGCCATTATCCAAACTCCCTCATGGGTTCTCTAAACACAACTTTTCTATGCCCGTACTTTAAAAATGCTAACTCTATATTCAGACACATCCCATCCATTGAAAAATAAAGTAGAAGTCTCTGCTGCTCATGTTTTGGTCCCTGAGTCTGCAATCTCAGAAGAGATGCTAGTTCTCAAGTGCTCAGCAAGACAGGACAGCTGGGATCACACATTTTGCCTAGAGAAAATAGAAAAATACAGACTTTAATGGAGAAAGCCACATGGCTTCAGGCCTTGAGACGGGGTCAGATTTAGGCTAGTTTTCTTACAAGCTGGCCAAGGAAGCTGTGAATGGTCCATCTCTGGCAGTGTTCAGGGCCAGGTTGGACAGTGCTTGGCAGCAGCCTACTCTAGGGGAAGGTGTCACTGCCTATGGCAGGGAGCTGGAACTGAATGAGCTTTAAGGTCCCTTCCAACCCAAACCAGTCTGGGATTTTATGATATATCTGGTTTGAAGGACTCTATAGATGAGGGGTCTGGTTTTGACTACAAAGATAAAAGTAACACAGTATTGCACAACTTGTGTTCTAACAGTGAAAGAAGCCAGTGAACAAGGAGGACGCATCTCTCATGTGGCAGATAATCTGCTTACAAATAGTCTTTGCTTTCCACCACCTTGCTCGCTTGTTCGGGTTTAACCTGTGTTGGCTTTCCCCCCTCCCTCTCTTAAACAAAAGCATTCTGCTTTTAGACTGAAATCATTAGAGTTGTGACTGACCTGTCACAGCAGACCTGAAAATGGCTTTGGAGTATCAGAAGGAAGAGGATGCTGTGTGACAGTAATTATGACAATGGCATGTGCAGTATTAGAGCTGTTAGTTCATAATGCATGTAGCCAAGAAAAAGTGAGTATCACTGATGTGAGGCACATGAGATTGTTGCAACATGTAACACTTTTCCTCCTGCACACTTCAACTCACATCTGCTGCAAGCCATTTGGAAGAAGAGCAGGTCGCTGTAATTTCATTGTGGTTGTGATGGCAACATCAGAGCGTTTTTCTACACACTGCTTTATTAAAGTCATATTGAAAAGGGATCTCAAGAGTTCCTGCAGTAACAGCTGGCTTTCTGTTAGTCGATAACTTCATCGCTGTGGACAGTTTGTAAGCAGAGCACTGAAGGAGAAACATTCCAAGAGGAGGGCAAACAGCCTCATGGGCTGCAGCTCATGATTACTACCAAGCGGCTTAGATTTGATATATGCTTTATAAGAAGCAGTCACACAACCCTCCGATTAAAATCAGTGTACGTGTTCAACTGCTGACACCGCTCAGGGACTGCATTGACCTGAAATTTAGCTGCTGCTTCCCTGGGCAGTGCTAAAACCAGAGAACAAAACACCAGAGCAGGGTTCAAAATCAGATTAGAAAGCCATTTTTTTTTTTTTCCCTGCAGGTCTAGATAAAAAAATAAAGCAAGAGCCCCACAATGATTTTGGTCTTCTTAAGGTTTGGGTTTCTTGCTTAGACCAGTCCTAATCTTAAGTTCTTTTTCATGGACAGAGTAATCTTCTCCTTCCATCTCCTGAAGCATGGTCTGCCTGTGTGACTTCATGTCCATGGTGGTCACAGTCCCCAGTGACAACTGGGAGTTTGGAGTTGGGGTTAAACTATGGAGGAGCCAGGACAGGACCATGAGAGGGTGTTGATTTTTGCAAAGCATCCCTGCTCCTAACAGTGCCAGAGCCTGGGCGCCTGCTCCTCTGTGAAGCAGACCTTACAGTTTTTAGTCCATCCCTTAATCTGTTCTCCGATAAACATTCTACTGGCTCATATCCATGTGCCGACATGGCATGACACATAGCCTACAGCTATCATTCAGTTAGGATGGTCCAAACAGGTGACTGATGCTGCAGTGTTGAGATGACAGTAACCAAGGCCAGACTCTTTTCAGTGGTGCCCAGTGATAGGATGAGGAGCAATGGCCATAAACTAAAACACAAGAAGTTTCACCTCAACACAAATAAGAACTTCTTGACATCAAGGTTGGCAGAGCACTGGAACAGGCTGCCCAGGGGTGTTGTGGAGTCTCTACTCTGGACACATTCAAACCCCAACACAGTACAACAGACAGGGATCTGGGAAGCCCCCAGCTCATCAGCTTTTAGGGAGAGAAGCAGCCTTTAGAAATGTAAGGAGCAGCAGACAGAACAGGGGCTGAGAGCTCCTCTGGTCTGATGCAAAGAAATATGACCAGCAGGTTGAAGGAGGTTATCCTGGCTCTCTGCTCTGCTCTCATGACACCACACTTGGGGTATTGTATGCAGTTCTGGTGTCCTCAGTTTAAGAAGGACATGGAGCTGTTGGACCAAGTCCAGACGAGGCCACGATGATGATCAGGGGCTGGAGCACCTCCTGTATGAAGACAGGCTGAGAGAGCTGGGGCTCTCCAGCCTGGATAAGAGAAGGCTGTGTAGAGACCTCAGAGCAGCTGCCAGTATCTGAAGGGGGCCTCTTAGGGAGAGGGACTCTTCATTAGGGACTGTAGTGATAGGACAAGGGGTAATGGGCCAAACTTTATCAGGGGAAGTTCAGTCTAGATGTAAGGAAGTTCTTTGCTGTGAGGGTGGTGAGGCACTGGCAGAGGGTGCCCAAAGAAGTAGTAAATGCTCCATCCCTGGCAGGGTTCAAGGCCAGGTTGGACAGAGTCTTGGGTGGCATGGTCTAGGATGAAGTGTCCCTTCCTATGGCAGGGGGGTTGGAACTGAGTGATCTTAAGGTTCTTTCTAAGCAAAACCATTACTGCAAACCATTCTATGACTGGGGAGCTGTTTTGCTAAGTAAAATGATTCTTTGTGGAAATAGCACTTGAAGCAGCCTCAATAAAGCACAGTTATGGTACCCAACCCAGACACATCCTACCAGGCAAGAGACCATGGGAGTGACTTGGAGAAATACTTATGAAGCATACCTGAACTTTTCTCCTTCACCCTTTTTCATTCCAGCATTTAGGGATGAGACTTTTACCGTGGGCCTGTGAAGGCCAGTGCCTTCCCTCAGGGCTTTCCCACAAACCAGCTGGAATTCCTTACTACTTTGACAACTTGGTCATACTTTAGCAGATGCAAGGGGCTGTTTGATAAAACCTGATCCTTTAGATGCCTGCACCAAAGTTATTTCAGTTACTGCATTTCCCCCAGTATACCTTCTCCCATTTCTGCCAGGTTTGGCACAAATTGCAGCCTTCTGTTTTGTAAATCTCCATTTTTTCCCCTTCTCAAAGGCTATTACATTGATCTATCAAGTCTATCAGTACGGGGCCAAAACTTATCTGAAGCAGTTGGAGACAGTTGTTTGTGCACACAGAATTGTTGTCTTGGGGCAGTAAGTCTTCCTTTCTGAGGAGAACATAGAAATCAGATTTCTTTAATCAAAAAGAAAATTAAGAATACCCTGGGACAGAAAAGCCACCCCAGCCTCAACTGCAAGCACTTCTGTGGGAGCATCAGTGCAGAGGGAGAGACAGGGGACGTGGGTTGCAGGGCAAAGTTCTCCAGAAGGAATGGTTCAACCGCAGCTACAGAGGTGACAGCTAAACTGAGACATCTGATGTGCAGGGGAAGCACATCATTGCTGATTGAGGCAGCGGTACAGACTCCAGGGAGCCTTCAGCAGTATCTTTTGGCTTGTCCCTGTAGTCCAGAGTGCTGGTTTTTTGCATGAAAATGAGTAACCCATCAGCTACTCCTACACATGCAGCTCAAATCACCTGTGGTTCAAAGTGAAGTTTATTCCTCAAATAAACTTTTTTGTCAAAGCAAACTAAAAGCAGTCAGATCTCACTGAACACTCCCCAGGTGGCAACATGGGAACATAACAAAATTTTTCCCTGTATGATTACTGATAGACAGGAATTATTGTTTTGAATCACGGACAGCACCAGATGGGAGCAGAAATTACAACATCAAAAGTATCTGGTGCATTAGAAACCAGTACATTCCCATAACACCAGCAGCAACTTGTTTTCCTGTTATTCAGAGTGCCAGGCATCCCCAAAACACGTTACCACTGAGAGGTGAGAGCACACTGATTCCTTACACATGATCAACCCGGATTCTGGTCAGAGGGTTTGAAGCAGGAATGTATAACATGATCCGTCAATAAAGCTCAGCTGTTGGCTTACTTGATTTGTCTGCAGAAACATCACCTCCAACATGTAAGACAACACTCCCTGCATAGCTGCAGAGGCTCTGCCACTCAGGACCAGCCTTAAGAACATTCAGCTGAAAAACTTCCAAACTCCACTGCTTTTTCTGTAATTCGGTAAATGATTTTCCGTGCTTATTTGATAGCATGAAAGTGTGTATATATGGGAAATAAGAACAAGTCTTCCAAAAGAAAGCTCCATTGCATAAACAGCTCTTGGAAAAAGAAACCAAAACAGATCTCAGCAGCACAGCTTAGCCACATCCCTCACCACAGGACCAGCATAATTTAGGTGATGTTGAAAGTGGCACAAAACCCTCAACAGAAAAAAATAGCTTGTTATTGCCTTACCTTAGGCAGACATGTGCCAAATCCCAAGGGACCTTACCCTGTTTGCATCCTGCAGGATTCCAGGATTTTAAATCCCAAAGGGTTTTCCTTTAAGAAAAAAAAAACAAAAAAACACAACTCTTCCCTATTCAAAACCAAGTTGGGCTTGCATTAATTTGCACATACAAGCAAACATCCTAGTAAGTGCAAGGCTGCTACAAGCCAGGGCTGCCTAGCAGAAAGCTTCCCTCATCTACCCAGGGGGAAGCTGAAGCACTGCTGGCTCAGACAGCACCCTCCAGGAGAAGCTGATGGGATCATCCTGAGCTACAAAA